AAGCCCAGCTAGTATCTTTAAAGTGATGATTCTGAACTCTAGATCCGACATCGTACTAATGTCCGTATTAAGTAGGTCCCTGGCAGTCGGTACTACCTCTTGTTCTTTTTGTTGAGGTGATTTTTTCCGTCTTGTCATTTTGTGCAGAGAATAGATTAATGAGAGAACAAAATGCTAGCAGAGTAACAACGTCCCCAGAAAATATACTCTAAACAAATCAGAAAAGACCTGAAACAGTGGGAAAAGAAAGGGAAAGAGAGAAAAAAGAAAAAGAAAAAAAAAGAAAAAGATAAAGATAAAAACAAACAAAAACAGAACAAAACAAAACAACAACAAAAAAACAGAATGTGATCAAATATGATCAGGCTGGTATATAGATCAGTGCCACACACTAGATTTTGGGTGTATTTTGGTCTGTTAGAAGAAAGTGCCTCCCAAAATTTTAAAGAAAGAAAAACTTATATATGTACAAAAATAAGGGTTCATATGATGAAGGGATGGAATATGACTGTAAAGATAGAAATTATAAAAAATTTTATAAAAGGAATTGATAAGTTGTTTGAAAAAAGAAAGAAGAGGATTTAAAAAAAAAAAAGGAAAAAAAGGGAGAGAATGTGATCAGGCAGGGGAGTAGGAAAAAACCATATACTAGAGATTTAGGGTATATTTTGATCTGTTAGAAGAAACTATCTCAAAATTTTAAAGAGAGAACAACTTATATATATATGCCAAAAATACGGGTAACTACTATGAAGGGATAGAATATGACTCTAAAAATGAAAAATAAAAATGTTTTTTTAAAAAAGGGGTTGATAAGATGTTGGTTGAAAAAGGGAAAAAGAAAAATTCAAAAAAAAAGACAGTTAAAAAAAAAAAGAACTTTGAAAGACTAAAGAATCATGGTAAAAAAGCCATGAATTCTATGTATAGTATTCCCCTAGCGCTGGAGTTCTGCCATTCTCATTGATCGGTAAACTTGGTCTTGGCTGGCTGTTCTCGCTGATCTTCTGGGGGAGGGGCCTGTTGCCGTGGTTTCCAAATGTCTTTGCCAGAGGTGGAATTGCCCCCCCACCGCCCGGTCCGGGCTAAGTAATCTGCTCGGGTTGCTCTCCAGAGCTTTTGTTCCCTGTGAGCTTTAGGTACAGCTTTGGAGGCGGAGAGTGGAAATGGCGGCCTCCCAATCTCCGCCTCGGAGGAGCAGAGAACTCGGGCATCGCTCCTCAGTGAGGCCCCAGAGAAAAGCAGTCAGTCACTCCCGTCTCCCCGGTCTCCGGCCGCACTCCGTGCTCACCCGGCCTGTGACCGCGCGTTTCTATCTCTGGCCCCCGACCCCGTGTGGAGAACCCAGTAGATCCCTGCAGTGCCCTCCCGCGCGGCTCCTCCAGGGGCAGGGAGGTGAGTCTCCCCGGATCTGCCGCTTGTTGGGTCCCTGCTGGAGGAGCAGTGGCCCGACTGTGCCGCGGATCACGATTTATGGCAACCCCGAGCTGAGAGCCCGTGCCTGGGCTCCGCCTCTGCAGCCGGCTTCCCTGCTCCGATCCCTGGGAGCTCTGCCGCCCTCAGGCACCCCTGGTCTTTCTGTGACCCCGAGGGTCCTGAGACCACACCGTCCCGCAAGGTTTCCACCCCCCGCTTAGCCACCAGAGTGACGTCCCTCAGCGGAGCAGGCTTTTAAAAGTTCCGATTTTGTGCTCAGTGGCTCTCTCACTTGCCAGAAGCGGCCTACGGATGCCCCTCCCCTGCCGTCTATCCTCCCGAATATCGCCTCGGATTCACCTCTCCGCTCGTCCTACCTTCCAGAAAGTGGTCGCTTTTCTGATGAGAGAGTTGTTGCTCTTCTTTTCTTCGATCTCCTGTTGAGTTTGTAGGTGTTCAGAATGGTTTGATCCCTATCCAGCTGAATTCCTGAGAGGAGACGAAATCCAGGTCTCCTACTCCTCCGCCATCTTGCTCCGCCCCCCTTAAGTTTTATTTTATATAGGAAGATGTTAAAAATGAAAGCTTTGATTTTTATCAGAAATGTTTAATAAACTTTTTATCGTCAGGTTAAATTATATACTGTATTTAATTTTTTTTAATTTATAAAATGGGTAGAATATTGCTGTTTTCTTTACAGCTGCTTTATTTTATGAAGATTTGGCTTTTATTGACTTGTTTTGTTTTACTTATTTATCCAATAAGATTTAACTGCTTTCTTCTCCACCCCCACCCCCCATTAGGAAAATGTAGAAGAATTTTGGAAAGCACAGATTGAAAATTCTTAGAGGAACTTCCTGCATCATGGCACTGTTGCCCAGAAATGGTCCCTCACATAGCCAGGCATCCCATTAGATCTCTTCAGTTTAATGTACAGCCCAATAAATGCATACTTCATTGTTTATACATGCTGATGGTTTTGCCAGATTTAAGTGGTTGTCTCCTGTTTCTGGATTGCATCACCTGCACAAGTGAATGCATGTTTGGGTCGTTTTGAGGGTAGAGTTGTTTTAGGGGAGATCAGAGGACAGAGCCGGAGACAGTGGAGGATCAGCACCGGTGCCCCTTTGACAGCAAGCAGGCAGCCCTGGAGTTGGTGTAGTATTCACGGCACTTCTCCACCTCTCTTTCACCCTCAGAAACTGTGAGGAAGCCTCTGCTCAAGGGGAGTCCGAGAAATGTCTGTATGCTCTCAGCCTCAGTTTGACAGAATATATAAGGGGAGAACAGAGGGTTGTGAGACAGTAGATACCCACACCCAGTGGCACACCCAGGATTAGAGAAACGTTTTTTAAAATATACTTTCTTGTGTTTTGCTGTTTCGCCATATTTTTGTGATGCATGTAACAAATGAAACTGTTAAGGAGTTCTGATAGTGATTTGCATTCCATTTTCTTTAAAGGAAATTTTTATATCTCTGTATCCTATGAAGTATGTTATTTTTGAGATTTTTCTGAGAACTCTAAAGATTTTTAACTTGTGATATTTGCTGTCCTTTATCTACTTTCCTATTATTCCAGTATAAATAGGTAGAGTTCAAATGCACCTAGCTGAGATGACAAACCTTTTCTAAATCTTAGGAATAATCTTGTTAAGGGAAAGGTTGGAAATAATTTCTGTGAATACATTTTACTTTCATAGCATTCCATGCAAACTTACTGAAGTCTAATGTTAGTATCTTCACCCTCATCCAGGACAGCAGTGTCAGCACGAATGAGGTGAAGGAATGTAAACACTTCGTTTAGTTACCTCGTTTATTCTAATGTCATTAAGTCTTCTAATTCCACACAATTAAAAAAACCTACAGGACACATCATTTTGTTGGGTGCATCAATGTTCATTTATATTCACCATTTTCTTTGCCGTTTATTTCATGTTGCATCTCACATCTTAGTCTAGATTATTTTCCTTCTTCTGGAAGTACATTTTTTTATATCTCATTAGGTGGAGTCCATAAGTTAGTAGACTCACTACTGTAAGTTTTTGCTAGGTTAAAAATTGTGCTCAAAGCACATTTTAACCAGGTATAGAATTGTAGGTTGGCATTTGTCTTTCTTTCCTTGTTATGTTGATGATAGGATAGCATGCTTCTTGTCTGGGCTCCACTGTTACTCTTACGAAGACATCTTAAATGCTGCTCATAAATAGCCAGTCTGTATTTCTCTTGCTGCTTTTAAGTTTTTGTTTGTTTGGTTTGGTTTGGTTTTCTGATTGTGAGTTTGGATTTCTTTTTATATTGCTTAAAATTCATTATGTTGCTTTAATATCTTCCCTGATGTCTTGTCATTGGTTCTAGTACATTCTCAGCCATTGGCTCCTGAAATGTTGTGTTTGCCTCATTCTCATTACAAGACAAGTTTAATTGAAGTTGTGTCATATTTTCTTATAGGATCCTCTGTGTCTTTTACTTTCTCTTTTATTTTTTGTCTTTTTGTCTCTCTATGCTGCATTCTGGATAGTTTCTATTGATCTACTTTTGGGTTCAGTAATTCTCAGCCATGTCTAATCTTGTCAAACATCTCCACTGAGTGAGTTCCTGACTTAAGTCAATACATTTTTTCTGTTTTGGAATTTCTTTTCTTTTTAAAATCTGTGGACTTTCTTACAGCTTCTAGTTCAAAAATTTCAAGCTTATTTTCTATATCTTGGAACATAGTAAGCATATTTTTTTTTAATTTTATTTATTTGAGAGAAAGAGAGCATGCACGTACCAGTGGGGGGAAGGGGCACAGAGAGAGAGGGTCAAGCAGACTCCCTGCTGAATGAGGAGCCCGACACAGGGCTTGATCCCAGGACCCCAAGATCATGACCTGAGCCAAAGTCAGATGCTTAACCGACTGAGCTGCCTAGGTGCCCCAAGCATACTCTTTTTACATGATTTCTGTTAAGTAATTGCAGAATGTGAAGTTGTTGAGAGTCTGTTTCTGTTATATACATATTCTTTGTTGCTGTTTCTTGCTTATGGTGTCATATTTCATTTTGTATCTGATTACCTTTGATTATGTCCTGGTCATTATATTTGAAAAAAAATATATGTATGGTTGATTTGAAACCTAGATGATGCCATTTCAGGATTGATTTTAGATTTTTTCTGTTAGATATCCAGAGGTGCTACCAGTCTGGAATCACTGAGATCCAAATTGAAGGCTTGAGGTTTCCTGGACTACCTAGGTCACATGAAGCTGGGCTGCAGGTTCATACTTGAGCTTATATAACCTTTCGTGGCACCTGCTTAAAATTGTTGGTGGTGAAGGGTGTAGCCCATTAACAGTTTGTGTTTGCTGCAAATGCTTTTGTAAGAAAAGCACCTGAGTGCCCCTGTGTATGTTCTTGCCTTATTTAGATTTCTGCGTCATTATTTTTTACCTTTTCATACTTTAAGGATATTTTCCATATATCGCTGATACTTAAAATGTTTTCATTCCAGGGTTCATCTTATTTACCTAACCTAACATTAACAGAAGCAAAATCTTTCTCTTTAATTTGTTTTTGAATTTCTCTTGATGTTTGTTTGCTTTTTGTAGGTTCTACATGAAACATTCCCTCAACACACATTCCTCATGAATGGTCTCATTCAAGGTGTAAAGGTAAGAACAGTTTTTGTGTGGTTCACAAGGAACCAAAGGCAGGAATCCTTTAGTAGTTTAAGTCTGGAAGTTTAAGTGGGAAGTAGGGAAATAATCACTGTTTGTTCTGGAGCCCTACATCTAAACTTCTACCTGGATTATTAATGTCAAAATGAAACACAACCCAAGCCCATAAGGCATAGAATGGTTTACTGGTAAAAGCAGTATTTCATTTTTATTAACATGTATACAGCAGTTTATAAAGAGTTTAATTATGTGAGGCTTTTAATTGCCTTGCCTATCATATTCTTGTCTGCTTTTGAGATTGACTTTGATATTGAGGAAGAAGGCAGCACCAAGATTTCATCAGCTATATGGTCTTTTGTCAAAGCTTGTTTGTGTTCTAGTCACAGCTAAGTTCTCAACCATGTAATTAATTAGCCTAATTCATTGTTTAAATTTTAATGTGATATTTATCAGAAAAGCTTATGAAAGATTAAAATAGAATGTTATGTTCCAGTCCCACTTCACAGTATAGTTAGTCTATGGGAATAGTGTCCTGTGTGTCCCTCCCAGCTTAGATGGTATTGATCTGTGAGCTGAGGAGCACACAAAATTATACTGTAGTAATTTGCTGAATTTATAGCTGGGAGCAGCATTATTTGTAATGAATGCTATTTATTCTTTTTCCTAGTTTCAAAAAGAATTTGATAATGCTTACAATAATGGCATTTTATTTTTTATTTTTTTAAAGATTTATTTATGTTAGAGAGCAAGCATGAGCAGGGGAGGGCCAGAGGGAGAGGGGGAGAGAGAGAGAGAGAATTTCCAGGAGACTTCCCACTGAGCCTGATGTGGGCTCGATCTCACCACCCTGAGATCATGACCTGAGCAAAATCAAGTCGGACACTCAACTGACTGAGCCACCCAGGTGCCCCTAAAATGGCATTTTAAATAAAGGTTGAAGCAAGAAGTTTTTAGTACTCATTGAGAAGAGGAGTATTATCAAGAATCTGGCATGTGGTCATTTAAGCACCTGTTTGTGATCAGCATAGATTAAAAGAAAAGTGAGAGAAAGCATTGATAAAAATATAACATAAATTTATCTTTATAGTAGATTCTTGGGGAAGTTACCCCATAGACCTTTTTATCTTATGGACTAGCTAATAAAATGTGTTTTAGTCTGGTTCTGCAAAATAAAACCAGCTAGATCTGTACTCTGAAGCCGAGCAGTGTGCTACACTTGGACCTAGAGACACCTCCAATGTTATTCTAAAAAAATGTAAACACAAGGTATTTGGATTGATTCAGGGGCTTGGACAGTGGCTTATTCCACTTCAGTATATACGAACTTCGGCTCATTAAGCTTTATAGGACTTCTGTCCTGTAATGATAGGTTATTGTGTCAGGGGTAGGGATAAAATGACAGCACCTACAGCAAAGTGTAGCCCTATTAAGATAGTTTAATGTGAGTGTGAGCACAGTGAAGTGAATGTGGCTTCACACTGTGGGATCAAGCCCCGTGTTGGTCTCCACACTTAGTGAGGAGTCTGCTTGAGATTCTCTCTCCTTTCTCACCCTCCCCTTGTGCTCGCTCGCTCTCTCACATAAAAAAAACAAAGTCTTGGGGCGCCTGGGTGGCTCAGTCGTCAAGCGTCTGCCTTCGGCTCAGGTCATGATCCCAGGGTCCTGGGATCGAGCCCCGCATCAGGCTCCCTGCTCAGCAGGAGGCCTGCTTCTCCCTCTCCCACTCCCCCTGCTTGTGTTCCCTCTCTCGCTGTGCCTCTCTCTGTCAAATAAATAAAATCTTAAAAAAAAAAATCTTTAAAAATAAATAAATAAAAGATCTTTCTAACCAGGGTGATTATTACAGATTAAATGAACTAATGTATGTAAACCTATTAGCACAATATCTTCCTGTGCTGACTAAAATGTTACAAGGAGAAATATGTAAAAAACAAAAACTATTAGAAGGAAATCTTGGTGACCATTTTCTTACCAGTTTGGGAAAAGATTTTCTTTTCTTAGAAAAAGAATTTGTAAAGGAAAAGATTGAGGCATTTACATCAGTATTTTAACTTTGGTAAGTCAAAATCACCATCATAAAAATTAAGACAAATGACAAAAAGTTATTTGCAGCATGTGAAATAGAAGGAGAAATACATAAAAGTGCTCTCAAAGTAAAATGTTATGAAAATGATTGATATCCTAGAGGGGAAGGAAGGACATAAACTAGCAGTTTACAGATGTCAGTGTAGAAATAGGTTTATCACTAGTAAGCAGTGAATCCCAAATGAAAGGAGATTATATTTTCTTTTTTTTTTTTTTAAGATTTTATTTATTTATTTGACAGTGAGAGAGAGAGAGAGACAGAGGGCAAGCACAAGCAGGGGAAACAGCAGGTAGGGGAGAAGCAGGCTCCCCGCTGAACAAGGGCCCGATGTGGGGCTCAGTCCCAGAACCATGGGATCATGACTTGAGCCAAAGGCAGCTGCTTAACTGATTGAGCCACCCTGGTGCCCCGAGATTATATTTTCACGTAGACATTGGTAGAAAAGTTTAAACTGACAATAACTAGTTCATTTTGTGGTAAATTGGGTCCCATACATGGTTGATGGAGGATAAATTGGTATAGCTTTCCTGGAAGGCAGTGTTTAAAGAACCTCAAAATAGGGGCACTTGGGTGGCTCAGTCGTGAGGCGTCTGCCTTCAGCTCAGGTCATGGCCCCAGGGTCCTGGAATTTAGCCCCATATTGGGCTTCTTGCTCAGCGGGGAGCCTGCTGCTCCCTCTCCCACTCCCCCTGCTTGTGTTCCCTCTCTCGCTGTCTCTCTCTGTCAAATAAATAAAAATCTTAAAAAAAAAAAAAGAACCTCAAAATATTCACTTACTTTAACAAAGCAATTCCATTTCTAGAAAATTGTTCTAATCAAATAGTTATTCAGAGATTCAGGTAAAGGGCTGTTTGTAATAGTAAACATGGAAGCAATTAAAATGCCTTAAAATTAGAAGAAGTACTTTGTGGCACAGCCGTATGATGTAATACGGGTACATGAAGAACACATTTTTGAAGAATACTACATAATGTGTGAGCCAAAAAGGTTGTAAAACTAGAGTATGGCTTTGGTTTTGTTTTTACCAAAATACGTGTGTATAAGCAGGGGGAAACGTGATTAAAACAGAGTCCCCTGAAGTGTGAAAGCATATGGATTTATGGATGATTCGCAGTTTTCTTCTTTACGTTCGTTCTTTGTAGATTTTCCACAGTTACTTGTACTTTGTAAGTTTACTGTTGTAATGCATGGGTGAGAAAGCTCATATTTGGGGTGAGCACCCATAAAAGATACAAGAGGAAACAAATCTGTGAATTCTCCAGTTTCAGGTTTTTTCCTCTGGCAGCTTTATTCAGATGAAATTCATATACCATGCAAGTCACCCAGTAAAAGTGTACATTCCATGGGTTTAATGTGTTCACAGACTTGTACAGCCATCAGCACAGATCTCCTTTCTGCTTCTATAGATTTGCCTGTTCTGGACATTTCATATAAATGGAGTCATACTGGGACGCCTGGGTGTCTGTTGGTTAAGCGTCCAGCCTTGGTTTTGGCTCAGGTCTTGATCTCAGGGTCACGCTCAGCATGGAGTCTGCTTGTCCTTCCTGCCTCTGCGTGCTCTCTCTCTCCCTCTCTCTCTCTCTCAAATAAATAAAATCTTAAAACACTTAAAAAAAAAAATGGAGTCATACTGTAAAATAGTCTTTTGTGACTGTCCTTCACTTCCATGATATCATCCAGGCCCACCTTGTTGCAGCACATGTTAGTACTTCATTTTTTTATGGCCAAATAATATTCTGTTGTGTGAACATGCAAGTTCATCTGTTCATTAGTGATAGACATTTGTATTTCTTCCACTTCTTGGCCTGAGTAATGATACTGCTGTGAACATTACATTTGTGTACAAATTTTCATGTGGCCCTATGTTTTCACTTTGCCCTAAGAATACACCGAGGGGTACTAGAATTGCTGGATCATATGATAACTTGATTGTTTTAATTTTGTTTTCAAATTAACATCTTTCCTAACCCTCTCTCTGGCAAGTCATATGTGTTCCTCATCCCCTAGACTTCCGAAATACGAATGACTCAAGCCTTGGACAACAGTTTCTTCTAACTCTACACTCGTTTCCTGGATGACATTATCAGACTTACCACTTTCAGCTCTCAAATATCTTCCTAGACCTTAGTCCAGAACTCCAGATTTATATACCCAGTTGCCTTATTGTGACACCTCTATTTCCTGGTCTGATAAGCATCTCAAAGTTAACATGCCAAAACTAATTCCTGATCTTCCCCTTTGGCCTGACCTGCTCCCAGGCCTTACTTATTTCAGTTACTGGTCATGCCATTCTCACTCAGGCCAAAATCCCTGGAGTAAGTGTTGACTCCTTTCTCTTCCCAAAACCATTCCATCAGCAGATTCTGTGGTTGTGCCTTCAAAATAGATCTATAATGAGAAGACTCCCTGGTTTCCTTTCAGTAGAGATCCTGATAAAATATAAGCCAGCTTGTGGCATTCTTAACCAATCCCATCCCCACTCCATTTTCTCCTCTGGCATCATCCCTGTGCTCCCTGCTGACCTAGCTCCAAGCAAGCCTGTGTATGCCTGAGGGCTTTGCCAGTTCTGTTTTTTTCTGCTTGATTGCTTTCCCCCCAGATACTGACCTCACTCCATAACCCTTAGCTTTTCACCCAGATGTCATTTTTTAGTAAAGCCTTTACTGACTATTGTCTTGAATAATGTAACCTGTTCTCATCACTTCAGTCCCTCTTCTCTGTTTTTTCTCCAAAAGCATTATAATTTCACCTCTGACATGCTGTGTATTTTGCTTTATGTTGTTATTGTGTGTCCTTCTCAACCTTTCTCTTTTAGACTAGAACCTTCTTAAAGGCATGAATTTTTGTCTGCTTTGCTTACTGCTGTCCTCAGCACCTAGAACAGTTCTCAGCAAATGACAGGTGTTCAGTAAGTATTGTTGACTTACTATTTTTTTCCAGTCTTTTTCTATGCATTTTTAAATAGTCAAGATCCAGCTTACACGGAGACTGTAACAATTTATCTTTGTTCTTGTATCAGCAATCACTAATTATATCATCATAATTTCTCTATGACATTAAAAACTCCATTAAGTATAGGCAGTCCTCTTTTTGCACATTACAGTATGCACAAATTTCAGTTGTATCTAGTTCAGTTAAAAAATACCAGCTCCCTACAACAATACAGCTCACATTTCCATTACCGTGGTGTAGTGATTATGAGTAATCGCATAAAGTATGGACTGCTCCTAGCTCCTCAGGCCACAGAACACTGCATACGTCACAGATGGCATCATGCTCAGTGACCAGTGATGCCACTTCTTGCAGAGTCTGTTGGGGACCGGTCACTGCACATCTCAGTTCGTGCACAGACAGCAGAGCATGTAGCTGTGTTGCCTCCTTGTCTCCAGTGATAAACCTACATGACAGTTCACAAAAATAGATCATTGAAAAGGAACTGGCCAATGAGGGTGGAAACGCAGTGAAGAAGATAATGCTAGAAGTGAGATTCAGATAGAACCTCTGCAGAGTTACGGAAGAAATGAGCTGGTAATCAGAGTAGAGGAGAGCAGTGTGATGAAGAAGATGTCCCAGGGGAAGTGATGTCAGCAAAATTGCTTCACCTTGAAGGAGCTCTCAGAGATGGTATTTCATGACACTGAAAACACAAAGGACAAAATGTTGGAAGTTGATTCAGATTTAGAAAGGTGTCTGACAGTTTGCCAATACACAGAAGATACTCCTTGCACATCATATGTTATAGGTTCTATGTTAGTAGGAAGGCAAGCACTGTTCAGGTGACTCTTGTAAGTTTTTTATAAGGAAATAAAATGCTTTCTTAAGGTTTTCAATTACAGTGTAAATAAATATTAGTAAATATTTTGGGTTTTTTTCCTTTTCATTAGTATTAAGAGATTAATAACATTAAAAAATTTATTTTAAGAAATGGACTCACATGATTTGGGGGCTAGCAAGTCTGAATGAAATATGTAGGTCAGGCTGAACTCAGGCAAGGGTTGATGCTGCAGTCCCAAGGCAGAACTCTGTCTTCTGGAAACCTCAGATTTTGCCCTTAAGGCCATCAACTAATTGGAAGAGCCTCCCCCCCCATATTATTGAGGGCAATACCCTTTACTTTAAAACCAACTGCAACAAAATACCTTCACAGGAACACCCACATGCACTTGATTAAATAACTGGATACTATAGCCTAGCCAAGGTGACACCATCACAGTAGTTTTAGCTACACTTTATCCAAAATGTAACACCAGACTGAGACGCCATGGTGTGACTTGGCAGATGAAGTCTAGTTACGATGCTGGTTAATAGCAGGTGGAGAGTGACTGTAATCATTTTCATCATTAAAACCAATTGGTCTGGGGCGCCTGGGTGGCTCGGTTAGTTGGGCGTCTGCCTTCAGCTCGGGTCGTGGTCCCAGAGTCCTGGGATCGAGCCCCGCATCGGGCTCACTGCTCCGAGGGAAGCCTGCTTCTCCCTCTCCCACTCCCCCTGCTTGTGTTCCCTCTCTCACTGTCTCTCTCTCTCTCTCAAATAAATAAAATCATTAAAAAAAAACAAAAAAGGGTCTGATGACCCAGTGTCTGCCTTGTAACTTCTTGAAACTTTTTTCTTTAGCAGCTATGTTTTATATTTATTACAAAATTAGACATCTTTATCAGTGTCCCAAACTCAGCAGGTCATGTGTCCAAGGTTGGTTTATGCCTAGAGTGATCAGTATGAAGAGGGTGGCTCTAAAGCAGGGAAGTGATAATCTTGTCTAGCTTTGACATCACAGTGAAGGCTTGGGAAAGGGGAGAAAGTAGAAGACCCAGCAGGCCAGCTAATGGGGTAGACCCTCTGCCAGGATGCTCTTCCAGGGGTATTTAATACGTCATGTCTGTAGTCCCAGGAGTTGCTGCTCAACTGTCTCATCCTGCTGTTTAAATGAGTTAAATCATCAAGCAGTGCTTAGAGTAGCTTAGCATAAGGACACACGGAAACTTTCGGTTGATTTGTTTTTTTTTAATGTTGATTTATTTATTTGAGAGAGAGAGTGCACAGGAGCAGGGGGAGGGGCGGAGGCGGAGAGAGAATCTCAAGCAAACTCCCTGCTGAGTGTGGAGCCTGGCGCGGGGCTCAATCTTAGGACCCTGAGATCATGACCAGAGCCGAAATCAAGAGTCAGACCCAGGCACTTCTTGTTCGATGTTTTTTTTTTTTTTTTTTTTTTTTTTTTTTTTTAAAGATTTTTTATTTATTTATTTGAGAGAGAGAATGAGATAGAGAGCACATGAGAGGGGGGAGGGTCAGAGGGAGAAGCAGGCTCCCCGCTGAGCAGGGAGCCCGATGCGGGACTCGATCCTGGGACTCCAGGATCATGACCTGAGCCGAAGGCAGTCGCCTAACCGACTGAGCCACCCAGGCGCCCTTGTTCGATGTTTTTAAGAATTAAAAAACGAGATACCTTTAAAGTTCCCTCAAACTACTCTTTGGTATTAGTAAGTACAGAATGGTTTCCCTACACACACACACACACACACGCGTGCGGAATAATTTTTAATTTGCACAACAATTTAAAGATTATCCTTTTTATTATCTGTAAATAAAATTATTAGACAACCTACTTGAGAAATGACTTCATAAGTTTTAAGTAGTCTTTTCACGACAGACTGCTAATTTATCCATTTAATAAAACAGGTGTGGGGCACCTGGGTGGCACAGTCCGTGAAGCATCCAGCTCTTGGTTTCAGCTCAGGTCATAATCTCATAGTCGTGGGATAGAGCCCTGCATCAGGCTCCACACTCAGCATGGAGTCTGCATGGGGTTCTCTGCCCCTCCTGCTTGTGTGCTCTCTCTCACTCTCCCTCCCGCCCCCCTCTCTCTAAAATAAATAAATCGGTAAGATAAAATAAGCATGTAAGAGTGCCCACAAGTAGAAAAGACTAGTACTTTATGTGCTTTAGGTTGGAGACCCTGAAATGTTAACAGATTAGTTTAATAATGGGTTTGAATTGTGGGCTCAGGGGTTAGGACTCAGGTTCTGGAGCCACCTCACATCTGAGCTGAATCCTGCCTCTCTGCTGCTTCTGAGCCTTGGGCTAGCTGTATACCCTAATAGAACCTACCTCACAGTGTAAGGGCATGTGTGTGAAAGGCATGGAAGAGTTTGGCATAGGTGAATGCTAGCTATTACTGTTATTATTACTTTAAAACATACACTGAGCTTTCTTGGAGTCAGAATTTATAGTGGCCCTACTACTTCTAAGATTAAGGAAAAGTCTGTTATATTTTAATTAAAACAATTTAATTTCACTTTCATCTGCTTTTTGTTTCTTCTTTCTTTTAGTGAATCTTCCCTCCTTCTCTCCCTTTACCTCAGAACAAAACTACATGCCCTAGCCCTCCTGCCCATTTCGTTCTTTCCTTGACGTTTTGGGCACCAACTGTTTTTTGACCCTTCTCCAGCTTTGCAGATTCCCTTTTCCAAACTTTAATTGAATTAAAATCACCTTATATGTCACATTTCTCATTTGCCCTCTTGCACTCATTGATAACGTTCCCTGTGAAGGGAAGCTGTGTACTGTGCAGGGTCTCAGTGGGCCCCAGGTCAGAGAGGTGACCCTGTGTTAATATTGTTTTTATGTGAAAATATTTGTACTAGTCAACTATACAAATAAAAACATGGTTCCATTGGTGTATGATTTTCTCTTTGATCTTTTTGAGATAAAAGTCATTATTAGTAAATTACTATATGAAAGATCAAAATGAACAAATCTAATTTTGGGGTAACCAAGTCTACATGTTGCAAGTTCCTCAGAGCTTATTGAAGAATACTGAAAATTTCTTACAGTATGTGAGCTTTTTCATGGAAAAGTGAGAATTTTCAGAAGTAGTTAAATGACCTTGTACGCTATTCTTCAGTGGAGCCATTGCTCACTCACATTCATTTGCAAAGTTAATTACACTATTTGGGAAAAAAATTTTTTTTAGTTTTAAAAATATTGACCCAACTGTTCTAGTCAAATATTTGCCAACCACCTATGTTAAGGAAAACGTGTGCTTAAAGCTTTTATGATGGCTCTATGAAGTGTAACAGTCTTGTGTGTTTGCTTCAGGTAAGTTGTATTTGTCATTGTGTGCTTTAAAATGTTTATTGGATAATTGCATTTAATTGAACAGTAAACTCTAATTAGAGCCTATAAGTCATGTCAGAAATACTGGCCAGGGCACCTGGGTGGCTTAAGTCAGTTAAGTGTCTGCCTTCGGCTCAGGTCATGATCCCAGGGTCCTGGGATCGAGCCCCGCATCGGGCTCCCTGCTCAGCCGGGAGCCTGCTTCTCAGCCTCTCCCTCTGCTGCTCCCCCTGCTTGTGCACTTATGTGCTCTCTCTCTCTCTCTCTCTCCCTCCCTCTGTCAAATAAATAAAATCTTAAAAAAAAAAAAAGAAATACTGGCCAATTAATTATGCCACCTTAAACACCATGTCTGCTGGGAAGTTAGCGAACTAGTGACTGTGTGAACCATTGGTGAGTTTCGCCGTCTGCACCTGGACTCCTGCACACCATGTTGCACCTACTCTGGTTGGGCTGTGATAGTGTAGTAACCGTTGATCCTCACTATGTTTGGATTTCGTAGTTGCGAATCCACCCACTCACTGAGTTTATCTGTAATCCCAGATCAGCACAGTGCTCTTGTGGTCATTCGTGCACCCAGGTGGGGGGGAGCGTGAGTTAACAGCCAACTCGTTTCTAGCTGAGGTCGAATTTCTGTCTCCTTGTTTGAGGTCTTACACTGTACATGTGTCCTTTTTGTGGTCCATACTTAGTGCCACATTTTTTGCATCTTTGTGTCTTTTGTTGGTGAATTAGCTGTTTAAAATGTCCCCAAGTGTAGTGCTGAAGTACTGACTAGTATCTCTAGTGCAGGAGGTCTGCGATGTGCCTTACCCAGAATATGCTGTCAGATAAGCCTCATTCAAGGCATGAGTCATGGTGCTGTTGACTGAGAGTTCAATGTTCATAAGCCAACAATGTATATTAAATAAAGTGTCTTTAAACAGAAACACACATAAATCATGGTTGTGTATTGATCGGTTAATGAAAATAGGTGACCAGAGCCTTGCTAACACTGTGTTTCCCTAAGGAGCAGTGGTTCCACATTCTCTAATTCAGTGCTTGTGGTAGCCTTATAGAACATAACTAGTGTGGGTAGTGAGAATCAGTGATACTTCTTTTTTCTTTTTTTTTTTAAGATTTTATTTATTTATTTGACAGACCGTGAGAGAGGGAACACAAGCAGGGGGAGTGGGAGAGGGAGAAGCAGGCTTCCTGCTGAGCAGGGAGCCTGATGCAGGGCTCGATCCCAGGACACCGGGATCACGACCTGAGCCAAAGGCAGACACTTAACGACTGAGCCATCCAGGCGCCCCTGTGTATGGATTTTTGACTACACGAGGTAGAGCGTGTTGGTGCCCCAACCCTCGTGTTCTTCAGGGGTCAGCTGTATGAGATTGTATGTTAGCATCTTAATAAAAAAGTAGGTTGTCCCAGAAGATGTTTTCAGTATCTATTATTGTCACTCAGAATTTGATTTAAATAATATTTTTAATGGATAGATTAAATTACCATTTAAAATCCATAATCTGGAAGATAGTATATTTTTTCTGTAAAAACTGTATTATTTTAAATATAACTTTAATGCTTGGCCTTTTTTTTTTTTTTTAAGATTTTACTTATTTACTTGTCAGAAAGAGAGAGAGAGCACAAGTGGAGGGTGGAGGGTGGGGGGCGGCAGGCAGAGGGAGAAGCAGGCTCCCTGCTGAGCAAGGAGCCCGATGTGGGACTCAGTCCCAGGACCCCAGGATCATGACCTGAGCTGAAGGCAGATACTTAATCAACTGAGCCCACCCAGGCATCCTCCTCCTCATTTTTTTGTTTAAAAATGGCATACATTCCATATTTTAAAGCATTGTGTGAAGTCTGGAATTAGAACTGTCCAACTTTCCCAGAGTTCTTTGTGGTTTAAAGAGTTTTAGTTACCATTCTTGTGGTGGTGGTGATTTTTACTCTCTTGTTCTCTTAAGTTTCTTTACATATTTTTGTTGACCAGTACTCTACTGCCCACATATTCTGGTACTTGAGATTTTGAGAGAATTTTGAAGCAACAGAAAAGATTATCTTTCCTAAAATTCATAAAACCGATAGTCACAAGTCCTGAATTTAAGCCCCACTTTCTGCAGTTACTTGGCTCTTTGTTAAGGGAAAATCATTTAATCCTTGATCTGTTACTTTCTTGACACAAGGACAGGCTAAATGGAAATCCACTGTGGCTTAGAAATTACATTACAGGGTTTGATTCCTGGGCATGGATTGATACTTTATTTCAGAAGAACTAAAAAGCTTTTCTTCTCACCCTGCCATCAAGTCTCCCTCTTACCTCCCCTTACTTCAGTTTGCCTGACACCTAGTTGGTGGACTCTAGGTTTACTGATGGCTGATAGGAGATTGGAATCCTGTACCCCTTCTTCCCCGCTGTGTGACTTTGGTTTCCTCTTAAAGTTCAGTTCACCAGACCTTTTGAAAGCCCTTACCAGGCTTGTGGTAGGCACCAAGGGTACAGAGATGTGAAGAAACCATCCCTCTGACATTAATCTCCATTTTGAATCGGAGAGAGAAGATGGACAAATAACAAGTGTTGAAATCACAGTAGAAGAGAGAGATATGTACCAGGCAGGAGGAGTTTGTTTCGTACCCCACAAAAACTAGTGTGATTAATTCTGTTTGTGTAGCTAAGAGAATAGATAGAGGAGGAAGTTGGGAAGAATGACTAGTAGTTTACCCAGTCTAAGTGTGGGAAATGTACGCAGGCACAGCGAAGGCCAGTTGGCAAAAAGGAAAATAGTTTGCTTAGAAAACTAAGAAGTACTCCATACAGCCAAAGCATCCAATGTGTCTTAGGTGCCAGATTTTGGAGGGTACTGTTTGTGTGCGATGCTGAGCAATTTCAGATAAACGACAGTAGAAAATGTAATGAACACCCTTGTACTTATCACCCAGTTTCATTATCAACGTTTTCCTACTCTTGTCTCCTCTGTCTGTTTTCCCCCACCCATTTTTTTTTATAAAAGCAAAGTTCAGAAACTCATTATTTCACCCATGAGTACCCGCTGAAAAATTTAAACTGCACAGTGGAGACCACAGCATGGTTTTAAAGAATTTTTATTATTATTTTAGAACAAGTGTGAGTGAGGGGGGGAGAGCAGAAGGGAGGAAGAGGAAGAGAATCTGAAGTGGACCCTGCGCTGAGCGGAGAGCTTGATGCGGGACTCAATCTCACGATCCCAAGATCATGATACAAGCTGAAACCAAGGGTCTGATGCTTAACTGACTGAGCCACCCACGTGCCCCAAGACCATACCAGGGCATTAAAGAAGGGATCAGGACAGAGGTTTGCAGCTCATCAAGGGGAGCACATAATTGTAGGGAGGACCAGGGTTGGGGCCAAGTAGGCAAGAAAGTGTCTTCAGTGCAGCAGATGATTTGGAACTATGCATATTTATTAAACTGAATTAAGTTTCTGGCCTCTTCCTGTATGCTTGGTGTGTGTTCATCTCATGGGCCATCTGTAGGTATACATAGTTCATATCCCTGCTTCTCCAGAAAAACAAGCTCTTTCCCCCACTTTTCCGTTTTCTAACAGCATGCTTAGAAATTCATTAGAATTTTTTTTTTTTTAATTTCCAATCCTGCTCTTTTGTTTGGGCAATAAACATGAAATTTTAGTGATAAATTGATTGCTCTGTCTTGGGCTGTTAGACATGGACATGCTAATGGGCTGACTTGCAATTATGTGGGGTTTTTTTTTTTGGTTCAGTTAGCCACTGTATATGTACATCATTAGTTGTTTGTTTTTTAATTTTTTTTTTTTTTAGATTTTATTTATTTGAGAGAGAGACAGAGAGCACAAGTGGGGAGGAGAGGGAGAAGCAGGCTGCCCACAGAGCAGGGAGCCCGATGCGGGACTCAATCCCAGGACCCTGGGATCATGACCTGAGCCGAAGGCAGACGCCCAAGCAACTGAGCCACCCAGGTGCCCACATCCTTAGTTTTTGGTGTAGTGTTCAATGATTCAGTAGTTGCATAGAACACCCAGTGCTCATCACAACACGTGCCCTCCTTAATACCCATTACCCGGCTACCCCATCCCCCCACCCCCCTCCCCTCGAAACCGTCGGATTATTTCCTGGAGTCCATAGTTTCTCATGGTTAGTCTCCCTCTCTGACTTTTCCCCCTTCAGTTTTCCCTCCCTTCCCCTGTGGTCCTCCATGCTATTCCTTATGTTCCACATCTGAGTGAAACCATATGATAATTGTCTTTCTCTGCTTGACTTATTTCATTAGAATGTTTTTAAATGACTGTTTGTATTTAATGCTTCAAATTATTCTCTTTGGGGGCCAGTAAAAGAAATGGAGCATTTAGAAAGGAAAAATTGCAAGTCATTGGGGGACCATGATGTAAATTTGAACTTTGTTGCTACTTTCCTCTGCAGGGCCTGCTGTCTTTTCTGAGTGCCCCCCTCATAGGCGCTCTGTCTGATGTGTGGGGGAGGAAACCCTTTCTCCTTGGCACCGTGTTCTTCACCTGCTTCCCAATTCCACTGATGAGGATCAGCCCTTGGTGAGTGGCTTGGCCCTGTACCATCATGACTGCCTGTTTTGGGTCACATGTGAATAATACATCTGCAAAGCATTTCTTAACCATTTCAGAGCAGTCGATACCTGTATTTTTATTTGATATCTTTTGGTAATACTGAAAGCCAGTTTGGGTTCTAAGATGTTTAAAGATGTCGCTAAGGGCAGCTGTTGTTGCCATCAGGTCAGTTAAAGGATTGGGTCCTGGGAGGGGGCTGACGGTCCCTGTACGCACCCCTGCGGCTCAGCTGACTGCAGGTGTGTTGTCATCTCACTGCTCTAGGGTACCAGAGGAACATAGTTTACACCAAAAGACTTTTGAGTACATGGTAGTTAGACCAAGAGCCTGTTCTATCTAAATCATGATATGAATTTGAATTTGATCTTATCTTTTCATGATAAATAGGGAGAGAATATTTAACATATAACCAAGTACCAGAGATGGTTTGGAATTTGCACCTGATCTGTACCTTAGTTGTTTTTCTTGGTTCCAGAAGATGGTATGTGGCCAAAATTTCTGTTGCTGAGATGCTCGTCCTAAGGTGTGAAGAACACACCTTAAAATGGAAGGTTTTTTTGTGTGTGTCTATGTTTTAATACATTAATATTTCTTTTTTGGCTCATGTGAAAGTGTCATCATTTGATTATCTGATAATTTTATGTCAGTATTTGTTACATTGTAAATATGTTGGTTACCCATAGTGGATCATTTTATTTTCTACCAGATGATGAAGTTTTATCAAATACTTTTTGGTATTGACTCTTTCCAAGAACAAGTCATGCTTTTCCAATAAATGAGGGCTTTTTTTTTAATGTCCTCTCAATATTTTAAAATATTTTTTCTTTAGATTTTGAAATGATTTTGCCTCTTCCCTTCCAGTTTTCATGCTGTTGCTTTTGCACTGCTAAGTAAAAGTGATAATGGACTTAACATCTCATGTATATAAAGGGAATGTTGTGATTTTTCATCATTCGAGTGTTAAGGTAGCTTTTGCATTGAAAAATATTATGTTACAAGGGGCACCTGGGTGGCTCAGTCGTTAAGCGTCTGCCTTCGGCTCAGGTCATGATCTCAGGGTCCTGGGATCGAGCCCCGCATTGGGCTCCCTGCTCTGCGAGAGCCTGCTTCTCCCTCTCCCACTCCCCCTATTTGTGTTCCCTCTCTCGCTGTGTCTGTCAAATAAATAAATTAAATCTTAAAAAAAAGAAAAATATGTTACTATGAAGAATTATATTAATAGATTTTCTAATAGTGAAATATCCTTATGTCCTAGGATAAGCCCTACTTTTTGTTCTGTGGAATTTTGTTTGGTAGTATCTTAACTAGATTTTTTTTTTTTTAAGCACCTGTGCATATGATTGAAGTTTTAGTTTTAAATACATTAATATTTTTTGTTGTGATTTCTGCTTTTGTGTAGCTCTTTTATTTATTTTTAAGATTTTACATATTTGAGATGAGCGTGAGCACATGTGCACACAAGGGCCAGGGGAAGGGCAGAGGGAGAGGAGAGTTAGACTCCCCTGAGCAGGGGGCCCCACATGGGGCTCAGTCCCAGGACCCTGAGATCATGATCTGAGCCGAAGGCAGACACTTAACCAGCTAAGCCACCCAGGCGCCCCTGTAGCTCTTTTAAAGGTACTTGCTGTATGTGTCTTTTTCTTAGCTAAAGCTAAGAAATTTTAAGTTTTTCTCTTCTGTTGGCTGCCTTTAAAACTATATCTTTACTTAATCCCCTTATTCTTTCATTTTTTTCAACTGCATGTACTGACACCCTTTAAGCAATTACAGACTTGGTGTGTTTCTTCTTCCCCATCTTGATTATCATTTTATTAGTTGTCCGTTCTATCTTTAAATATACAATACATGTATTTGTTCTTAAATTTATTTCTTGGTTTATAATCTTTACATGATAATCTTTGGGTCTGGTTATAAAAGTGTATGTACACTACCTCTCTCCCAGGTAATTAAAATAATCTCTTTATAGGTGGTACTTTGCGATGATTTCTGTGTCTGGAGTCTTCTCGGTCACGTTCTCTGTGATATTTGCGTATGTAGCTGATGTCACTCAAGAACACGAGCGAAGTACTGCTTATGGATGGGTAAGATTATAGTTTATGTTTTTTAACCAGAGAAGTAATTAGGGTTCTATTTAAAAATGTACTGGAAAGCAAGATTTAAAATAAATTACAAATACTGACTTACATAAGAGAAAATCTAAAGCAATTGAAATCAGAAAAGGAGATCTATGAAGTTTAAAATAGTAAGATGGAAATTACTAGTAATGTATCCTCTGGTTTTAGGGTGAGTTGTCAGCTGCAAAAGTGTTTCAAAAGTTGATTTGATTTGGTTCATATTGGCTTATCTCTTGAGGAACCATAAACAGTAAATAGGTGCTAAGCACAGAAGTCCCTGTGCACCTCGTTCATATTGGAGGTGCTGCACCTCAGCCCTGTTAATCCACTGTTACTGTATTGCTGGTTGTGTATCTCAGGCACTTATTTGGGACATGGTACTGTAGAAGAAGGACTACATTTATTTGGCAATTAATTTTTGAGTGCATAACAAAAGTTATAGGAGACCTTGTTTTGGATAATTGAGTATTAGAAAATCTAATTTTCTGAGGTGTAATTATGGCTTTGTGGTTCTGTTGGGGAAGAAAGACTCACAGGATGGCAGGCTGAAGCCCTTGAGGTGTGTCATGACTAAAGTTGTTTTGGGGGGCGGGACAATGCCATGTGAGCAATCTGTGGGTATGTGTCCAGTGCATGAAATTGCTGAGTCATGTGGGTGTTTTTGAGGGGGGAAATTTTCCCTTCTTCCCTTCTAGGTTCTTTGGCTACCCTAATAATAATTAAATTGACATAGATTAACAGGAGGGAAACATTTAATTTTGTACAGAGCTCCACAAAGACCTGAGAGAGCCAAGGGCATTTGGACAGTTGAAGCTTATATGCCATCCTTAGCATTAAGGAAAAAGGGGGTAGAGGTCTGGGACTTCAGAGGGGACGAAAGCCATTCACAGGAAGATGAGAAGAGCAAATGTTTGGTAAATAAATGTTTGCCATGCCATGCAAATAAATCTTTCTGATAGAAAGTTATCTCTGGCGATAGCTCTCTTCCTGATACAGGCCCCCATCGAAATTCTTTTAGGCTCTGAAAGAGAGGCAAAAAATCTTACCCTGAGTGTGCTGGGTCTTAATTGCCTTCAACCAAAACAGTCTACGTGCAAAGGGGTATAGTTGGGGTGCTGCATTCTCCCCTTCAGCATGCACTGTGCTCTTCTTTCAACTTCCCTGTGTTGGAAAATGTTTACAGTGAGAAAAGGTGGAAGAAGAAAACTGGCTGGGTTGTTGAACAGGTTGGAGGAGGACTGAAGGCCAGAAACCCAGGTTACTTCTCTCCTTTCCCAAGCCTTTCTCTTCCCTGTAAATCCTACGTCCTGGAAGACAGGAAGGAGTCATAACTGCACAAAGATCAGTTGTTGCTGTTCCATAAAACACAACAGCAGCTTTCACTTTGTTGACTTTAGACATTAGTTTAAAAACAACTTCTTCAACATTACTTCCCCTCTACCTACTACCTGCTTTCCCCTCCCATTCATCTTCCCTGCTACCCTGAATGTCTCTCATAGCACATCCTAAGACTGTCTCCATCTGCCGTCCCCACAATGCCGTGGAAGAGGACACAGGGAGGGGCTCTAGGAAGCCTTCAAAGGAGGCAGGGGTGTGCAGGGTGGCTCATAACAGTCAGCCAGAAGCTTCACTTACCACATTTGTGCAGCTTTTCTGTACATGATGGGAAATACCCATGGAGATATTAATTCCCCTCCAGTTTAAAAACAATCTGTGTTCTTTGCTTTCAGCGAAAACAAACAAACAAACAAAAACCACTCACAAAGCTGTGGCCTAGCATTAATGCTTTCAGGACAGGGTTCAGAGAAAGAGCATGACTTAGGCGCCCTTGCTAGCACACTTCATCTGTAAGATGGCGGTGACGCTTAGGGTGTTCATCGGGCTGCCGAGAGGAATGCGAGAGAGGAGAGCTGGCTGTGCGGTCGGCCAGCGGGTAAGGTGCCTGGACTTGGTCACAGGAGTCAGGGTGTTGGCCCGTGACCTTTACGTGTGCCCTAACTCGTCAGATGTGAAGATGACAGAACTAAAAAAAAAAAGGAAAGGAAAAAAGCTTGCAGGCTGCTGCGTATCTTAGAGATAAAGGAGGATTTACGGCCAGTTATTTACGAGATTGTCAATCAAGTCTAGCTGGGGTTTTAGAGCCGTTAAAGAATGTATAAAGTATGTACACCTTCCTTCCTTAATGAAACTCCTCCACTACACCAAGAAGGTGGCAGTTCTTTCAGGGCTGCAGCAAGGAATAGTCCTATTAACTGAGTTAATGCTCACTGAGAGATTGTGGTGGTGAAGTCAACCTTTAGATTTATTTACCAGAGCCATGCTGAGCGTGAGGTGAATTAGGGATTTAGATAAATACTAAGATAATACTTGCAAACTAAGCAACAGTGCGGCTCTGAGTTTTAAGTTACTGCATTTTATATAGAAGTTCATGGGGTCACAGATCCCAGAAACTCAGTCATCCAGCAAGTATTGAGCCTCGGCTGTTGGAGAGGAACAAAACTGATCGGATGGAACAATTTAGGGAACTGCGGCTGCTCTCCACCCTTTCTGATACTTGAAACTTGGCAACTAGCTTTTTACTTTTATTTCCATATTCCACATGATTAAATTGGCTCTCAGAATATTCACTGTTATTACATAGAGATTTTCACACTAAATTCTGTTTCTCACTATGAAATACATCTCTATGTTTATTTTTCGCATATTTGAAGAAACTGATCTCTCAAGTGCTCTACCTGGTTCGGTGTCCCACTTAGGGAGGAAAAAAATATAGGTGCACGGCAGCAGAGGGGTTGATGGCAGGAGGGAGTCCTGAGCGCTGAGGGACCTAACGAATCAGGGCTGCATTAGGAGGACTGGTAGGCCTGCCCCTCTGTGTCTAAGAACATCTGCCCTGCTGTCTAAGTCATTTTATGGGGCTTTCAGCTCTTCAGATACATAGACTCTGAAGTCCTAAACTCATTTCTTTTTTTTTTTTTTTAAGATTTATTTTATTTGAGAGAGAGAGAGGACGAGAGGGGGAGAGGGGGAGAGAGAGAGAAGCAGACTCCCGTCTGAGCAAGGAGCCCCACGCAGGGCTCGATACCACCACCCTGAGATCATGACCTGAGCTGAAATCAAGAGTCAGACACTTAACCGACTGAGCCATCCAGGTGCCCCCTAAACTCATTTCTTAACCTCTGTTTTGAAAGCTTAAAAGAAAAATTCTCATCAAGATTTCTGCCTATGCCAATTTCAGGTTTTCTCTGTAGCAGTTTACAAATAAATTATGGAAATACTAGAAAACAGAGCACTTCTTTCTCAGAGCAGTGTTGCAGGGTACATCACATGGATGGGAAAGATGAATTAAAAAGTTTGCCATGGTTTGGAGTGCATGCATTACTTATTAATGAGCATTAATCTCACTACATCCAAAGTAGCTACTGTATCCCTTCCAAAATTTTCTGAGGGGGAGCTTAGTAGAATGCAGTCATTTTCCATTCAAAACTCATGTATCAAATGTATTCTTATATATTAAATCATTGTTCTGGAATAATAAATTTAATTCCATCGTTTGTAATGACTGAATCTTGAGTTATTGAAAAGTTTTTATTTTATAAAATGTCCATTTGGCTAGAAGACAATTAACGATGGTAGATTTAGAAATGCCATTTTGACAAATAATGAAATAAATTCTTTAAACTCGAGTGATTATTAGATCCTTTAGACTTGGAATGCTGTGGGATTATAAAAACCAGTTTCAGCTGAAATTAAGCAGCTGTAAGTCTAACTGTACGTTTTGGTGGGAAAGATGATTTTCGAGATTAGAAAATGGCTTCTCATTTTTGCTTATCATATGAACTTGAGTTATTTAACTTTTCTATTGCTGTTTATTTGTACATTGAGTAGTAATCTTGTTTACATGCAGAAATGTGGTGAAGATTAAGGAAATGAAAAACTTACTAATGAATGACTTATTGACCCATTTTGTGCAGAAATGAGGTGGTTAGGCGCTGGAGGACCCTGTGGCAGTGCTCCCATAGCTGCCTGCATGTCACTGCCATTTATAATGTGACTTATGTGACTGCCTTGATCTTTTCAAATAATATGGAAAAACCTGAAGGGCAGGAGCTCTGTCTTCTTTTTCATCAGGTACAGAGTGGGTACTTAGTAAATACTGAACCAAGACATTCCTGTTCCCCAAGTTGGAATTCTCTATGCCTCCTTTTCTCCCCCAGACAGTTGTTATTGGACTTTTGGCTTCTATAGTATTTTTAGTATAATACTAAGATCAAGTATATTGTATTTTCACATTCGTTTGCGGGTGCTGGGTGAAGGAAGAATGTCATTGGCTAACCAGGTGTTGTCATAATTTTGAGCACAGGTAATGATTTCAGTGGTTTCTTTTAAAACCCATTGGAAGTTTAGATAACCAGTTTATAAGTCTATTTTTGGCATTCAATCTGGTTATAATTTGGAGACTGTCCATTTAAGCTTCTGAACATTCAGATTACATTCCAAGACAAAGGAGGCGCTCTACATTAGGAAAACCATGTGAAGAGGCTCCACATGGATTCAGGTGCAAATGTGTCTCTGGTATAGAATGGAGGTGGGGAGTGACAGAAAATAACAGCCCAGGGATCTCAAGGTAAAAAGCTTCAACGGTCTCTCAACAGATCTTTGTTGTTGTTGTTACAGCTTTTTCTCTAAGAATATCAGGGATTTTTTTTTTTCCCTTCTCTGTGCTAATGCAATGGTCACCAATAATAAAATGGTAAAACTGTGCATGTTTTTAGACTATGAAATCAACACAGTCCCTGAGTAATTTTTAGGTTTTACCATTAGCCCTGCAGACATTGTTTTTTCATGCCTTTCTCCCCACATCCCTGTTTTCCAATTAAAGAAGACTAAAGTGTGTATGTTTTATTCATGGGGAAGTTTTTCTCAATTTTTATTTCTAATAAGATATTTTTTTACTCTTGTAGCTTTTCAGGATATCTGCAGTTAGTTCATAGTTTGGGAACAAGTCCTTAAAAGGAAATGACTTTCTCTTTCATTCTTAAAATGTATGTGCAACACGTTCCTTTTGTTTTCTTTAAAGCCAGGGAGGGATGGCTATAGGTACATATCTGTGGGACCCTGCGTAAGAAGCAGGAACATAGGTGTGCACCTGCGGCAGGTGGGGTGAGTGAGTGTGCGCTTTCTGCATGTGCGTGTGGTAGAGGATGGGACCCAGGGTGAGAGAGTGCTTTTCCACAGGTCTCAGCCACCTTTGCAGCCAGTCTGGTCAGCAGCCCAGCCATTGGAGCATACCTTTCAGCCAGTTATGGAGACCGCCTTGTTGTGCTGGTGGCCACAGTGGTGGCTTTTCTGGACATCTGCTTCATCTTATTGGCTGTTCCAGAATCTCTGCCAGAGAAAATGAGACCGCTTTCCTGGGGAGCTAAGATTTCTTGGAAACAAGCAGACCCTTTTGCGGTAAATATCCATTTCTTTCTCCAGTAAAAATAAAAAAAAAATTTGCACATAAGACCTGAAGGTGTTTGTGCACCAAGGAATATATAGAATTTATATTTCTTTCCTTTTTTCATTTTTTTTATTAGGGAGGAAGAGAGGGATGGGCAGAGGGAAAGTGAGAGAATCTTACGTGTTCCATGCCCAGCGTGGAGCTCAACTTGGGGCTCAATCTCATGAGTCAGACACTTAACCGACACCAGGCACCCCTAGAATTTATTTTTAAGTCAAGTGTGTGGTAGGTATCCTAAGGAAGGAGAGAAAAAAGGTCCACTTAATCCCTGATGAGGGTGTAGGAAGGAAGTTGTTTTTTTCTTATTGCATGGTTTTTTGGGTTTTTTTTGTAAACAAAACGAAGGTGGCCGCTTGAATTGTTCATTTTATTCACTTAAATTCAGAAAAGATGAATAGATTCGGTCTGACTAGTTATTTTCTAGTTTGTTAATATATATCCACTTTGACCAGAGGCTTTGAACTTGTATTTTCCAAGTTGAATGGATTCTTTGTTTCCTGTAACTTTTTAAAATTTTTGGCATTTAAAAATTTTTTTTGGAAGGATTCTATTAAGAAAAAGTACTGAGAAGAAGAATCTTATCCCTCCCCTTTTCCCACTTTATCTGACTTGAAATTGTTCTTGAAGAAAATACGTGCAGAAAAAAATAACCAGAGATTTGATTGCTGTTTTTAAACACCCAAGTTTACTTTTTTAGGAAAAATGTGTAAAAGAAAAATAACTCATCAAATTCTTTTCTAAAAAGGTCCCTCAGGTCATGACCTGCGGACCCTGCTCGTTTTGTTTGTGCCATGATGTCAGACATTGAGAAGGAGGTACTTAGAGAATGGACCCGGGCGCCCGTCAGGCCTCCCATTTTCTTGTCATGTAGTGATCAAGTTATGTGTGGAAACTCCCGACTGCTGCCGTGTACTCTTTCAGGCCTACTGCAGGGATTACAGTAAATTAACTAGTCTCGTGTCTGGTGTGCAGCCAGTCCCCATAGACATGAGCTGCTTTTGCTGTTCACACATGAAGGTTACAATTACGGTGACCCTAGAATGCACTGAAGCACTCTCCAGTCCTTAGAAAACCACACACTTCTTGGTCTTCTCAGCAATTCTGTGTAAAAAGGGATGTAAGAAGGACTTTCAGACAAAGTTGTAACATTCAAAAGTTACTGGTCAGAGAATCTTGTCACTGACCCCATGACGAGCATACTTCTTTCTCTACCAGTTTTACAGGCAAATTGAATATTATTAACATCTTAAAGAATATAGTAAATTTATATATTGTAAAAACCCTGAACTGTTTATGGATTTAAAAGGGTTACATTATGAATGAGAGAGATGAGATTTTCTTAAAAGGTTCTGGAACAATGTTTTTTCAGGGTCTGTTCATAGGATGTGAACCAGTATGGTTAACAAAGATGAGCAAGTATTTGTGGGGGAAACTTGTTTTGGTTTTAAGCTGTAATACTTTAAACATAGAGGACTTGTAACCATAGAGTTAATGTTTACCTGCTTTTGTAATCCCTTCAACTTTTATAATTCACCTTAACAGAACAAAACAATGAAGCCAATATCCTGGAATATCAGTGACTTTAGTGTTGCCTGCTTTTTACATGTTTCTTTCTGCTTATTCCTAGTCACTGAAGAAAGTTGGAAAAGATTCTACCGTCTTATTAATTTGCATCACTGTGTTTCTTTCATACCTTCCTGAAGCTGGACAGTATTCAAGTTTTTTTCTCTATCTCAGACAGGTGGGTAATGTGTGCCTAGTAGGTTTAGAACATGAAGAAAACCAAAGGTTAGGATCTTTTGAAAAGTATTGTGGGGAAAACGGTATATAGAGAAAAAAAATGTGTGGAGTTGCTTCTAGTTATAGTAAGTATAGGCACTGATGTATAATTAGCAGTCGGGGGACCTATAATATGATGTTATATTAAAATATTGTAAAATGTTTAATCTGGGAAAAATTTCCTTGAGAATTAGCATAAACAAAGTTTATCATAATGTTTTAAATCTTCATTAAATTTCAGAGAGAGGTCAGGTTTGTTTGATGTGACCTGACCTGGGACATCTTCAGTAGGCCATATAACTCAATGCTGCTGTAGACTTCAAGGGGGCTCACAAGCAATAATCATGGCAGTTGACTTAAGGCAATTTAAGAACAAGCTCCCTTTCCAACTGTTGTTTCAGTTCTCTGGGATTGCAGAGACACAAGGTGCCTTCCATAGCAATCCTGCCCTGGTCTTTTACTGATTTCCCTGTAAGTCCTTCTAGGGGCTTACTCCACGTGGCAGAGCAGGCCTCCTCCTAAGATAAATTCCTCTATTTCTGGAGATATTTTTAGTTGAAACTTGTTAAATTCACCAATCTCACAGTTTTCCTGAAAGTGTGAGACTACTATTTTATATGGTGACATATAAGTAAAACTGTTTTTCAACCAGTCCTTTTTCAGTTTTGCTCATTTGGGGTGGGCAGATGCTGGAGATTTAGTGGGAAGACTGGTGAGGTAGCATGTTTAATGTAGAAAATTATATGTGCATTTGTAATTATGCATTAAATTAATTGTACATTTAATGTAGGAAAAATGGGAAAGCTTAGGGAAGTGAAAAATCCTCTCATTCCTTCAGAAAAAACAACTACGGATATTTTCTTTTTCTACCTTTTCCTATACATATTGCTTATGTCACTACCACCAGCACTTAACAGTAAATCAGAATCATTTTCTGTTGTTTTATATTTGTGCTTTTAAGAGCAGTTCACACCCACACATTTGAGTTAAAATTGCATTTGGTATTTGTAAATCATATATCTGATAAGGAACTTGTATCAAGTATTAACTTTTGTAAGTGAAGAATAAAAAGACAACCGAACTGAAAAAATTCAGAAAAAGATTGAATAGATACCCGTCCAAGGAAGCACATGAAAAGATGCTTAACATTAGCCATCAAGGAAATGCAAATCAAAACGAGATACTTCTTCACACCTGCTAAATAAGATGGCTGTAATCAAAGACAGACAGTTATGGAGAAATGCAAACTCTCACACATGGCTGGTGGGAATGTAAAATGGGGTGGAAGAGAGTTCGGCAGTCCCTCAAGGTGTTCAAACTAGGGTTTCCAGCAAATCTATTCCTACGTAAATAGCCAAGAGAAATGAAAACACATTGTCTATGTAGAAACTTTTTTTTTTTTTTAAAGATTTTATTTATTTATTTGACAGAGAGAGACACAGAGAGGGAACACAAGCAGGGGGAGTGGGAGAGGGAGAAGCAGGCTCCCCGCGGAGCAGGGAGTCCGATGCGGGGCTCGATCCCGGGATTCTGGGATCATGACCTGAGCCGAAGGCAGACGCCTAACGACTGAGCCACCCAGGCGCCCCTACATAGAAACTTATACAAATATTTATAATAGCCAAAAAGTAGAAGCAGCTGATGAAATGTATTGACAAATGATCTGTATGGCAGGATGTTACTGTTTGGCAATAAAAAGCAGTAAAGTGCTGGTACCTGCTGCAGCATGGACAGCCTTTCAAAACATGCTAAATGAAAGAATCCAGGACCATATATTGTTTGATTCCATTTATATGAAAGGCTCAGAAAAAACACAGGCAGAGACAGGGAAGTGTATCACTGGCTGAACAGAGGAACAGGCTGGAGGAGTGGGACTCCTGATGGGGTACCGTGTTTCTTTGAGGAGCGATGACATTTTCTACAATTGACTGTGGTGATGGTTGCCCAACTCTGTGAATATTCTCAAACCACCGAATTGTATACTTCTAATGGGTGAATTGTAGGATACCCAAGTTCTTTCTTGATAAAGCTGCTTTAAATATGTATATGTTTATGTTTATATTTATATTTACAAATACAGGCTGAAAAATAAGGCTACTTCTCAGGTTCCAGTTTTTTTTAGTTGGGTTTCATTAGCAAGTAATAGGCTTATTTGTCAGCATCACTGACTTGGGAACCTGAGATTCTAGCTCTTTTATTAGCTAGTTGTAGGGGTACCTGGGTGGTTCAGTCGTTAAGCGTCTGCCTTCGGCTCAGGTGGGATCGAGCCCCGCATCGGGCTGCCACTCACCCTGCTTGTGCTCTCTCTCGCTGTGTCTCTCTCTCTCTCTCTCAAATAAATAAAATCTTAAAAAAAAAAAAGATTATTAGCTAGTTGTGTGACTGGAAGCAAGACACTCATTTATTAAATGAATAGAATGCATACAATAATGTTTAAGTCCTTTTCCTGATTTTTATAGGATTTCAATAGAGGGCAAAAATATTTGACTTTTTAAAAACTTGATATTTAAAACCTAAAGTTTTAGGCCTTTCAGAGCTTCTGTTAAGGTTGAGAGGCTTAGAAATTATTGCCAGCTCACTTTAATTGCTTCTAGAATCACCATGGAAGCTTTTTAAAATATGCCTGTGCCTGGGCCCAGAGAGTCTGATTTAATTAGTCTCAAGTGGGTTACAGCATTTCATTGCTTACCCCCCTCCCTTTCTGTGTTGCCCACATGATTTTAATGTGCAGCCAAGGTTGACAGCCATTGACTTGGCTAATGAGCAGATTCTCTTGGTAGTACCAAAAGTCAGATCATTTTCTTCATGTTCTCTCTAGTGTTTGGTGATGTTGTATTTGTCTCTTGGTGGGTTGGAGATGGGGATTATTTTTTATAGTATCTATAAAGCGTTTTCTTTCCATTTCCACAGGTCATAGGTTTTGGATCTGTTAAGATTGCGGCATTCATAGCTATGGTAGGAATTCTGTCTATTGTGGCTCAGGTGAGTGTCATTTCATCCATTTTTTTCTTTATCATTTTTATTTGGAAATAACTAGATTTACAGTAACTGCAAAGAAATAAATGTTCATAGGGAACCCTGGCACCCCTCTGTCAGTACTCCCCTCCTCCCCTGCCATGGTAACATCTCTTATATCTGTGGTACAATATCAGACCCAGTAAACAGGCATGGATACAGTCTACAGAAGCATCTTTTTTTTTTTTTTTTTTGAGAGAGAGAGAGGCAGCCCGGGATGGGGGGTGGGGTGGGCAGAGGCAGAGAGAATCTCTAACAGACTCCACACTGAGCTCAGAGCCCAACACAGGGCTCGATCTCATGACACCAGTCATGACTTGAGCCAAAATCAACAGCTGGATTCTCAACTGACTGAGCCACCCAGGCACCCCAGAACTTCTGCATCATTTTTAATAGAATGTTGAGATTGTAATTTAGGAGGAATTTAATACAGCTTTTCAGTACTTTTTAGGATACCTGTTACCTCTACTGGTCATTTCAGCAAATAACAATTTGCTTTTACAACCACCAATAGTCTAACTCCATATACTGCAAAATAAGCTTAAAATAAAGAAGCACTCTCCTGGTTAATGAGGAAAGTTTAGTTAGCAGTGGGAAACAGAAATGAAATCAGCAACTGTTCCCAACCCTGCTATCCCCAGGACTGAAGAGATGTGGTAATGAGTGCATTAGAATATATGAAATGAGTAAACATTAAACATTTCCCCACCTATTATAAATAGAAGACCACAAAAGGCAGGGTATATGACCTTTAAATGAACTCACTGACATGCCTGGGTGCACTCACAATATCACATGGGACTGCCTAGAGGCTACTCCCTCAGACGGCTTCATGCTGCTTTATAGCATGGGGCCCAGCAGAGTGCTCTTCAAGGAGAAACAAGAAGGCTCTGAAACGGTTTTGCCCGAACATTAGAACTGACAAGGCTCAAAGGACTGCATCAAGGCAAAAAAGCCTTTTATTTTTTCTTACCGAACTTTTTAGTGAATGTAAAGTATGTTGAACTTTCAAGTTGCTCATGATTTTGGTTTGCATTTATAGCAACTCTGGTTAGTCAGTTAGCCAGAACTCATCTTTTATCCTCTGCCTTTACAGACTGTATATCTGTTAAAGTCAAATTCATATTAGTCCAACTTTCTGACACCGGTAACTTCCAGCAGAATCCCACATAGTCTGTAAATGTTCAACAGGGGTTTGCTCTTCCCTGGTGGTTAAGTGATTGGCATTTCTCCAAAGCGTCTGCGTCATGTGCTTCTCAATCATGATAATGGGTGAACAGCTATGATGACCTTTGGAAAGTGCTAGCAAAGCATTAGATAAACAGGCTTTGGAGAGGGCTCTGAAGGCCCTGAGCCCCAGGTTAGCCTTGGAACCCCCACAGCTCGACTCGAAAGCTCCGTCAGTATTGCGTGGCTTCCCCAACTCTCAGGCCAGGCTGTGTACCCATAGAGGCCCCTGGTCATTGTAAATGGGCTCCCCTCATCAAGCTTGCATCGAATCTGTGCACTCACATGGTTTCTCAAGATTATCTCCTTTGTTTTTACAGACCGTCTTTCTTACCATCTTGATGAGATCATTAGGGAATAAGAATACTGTCCTCCTAGGCTTGGGCTTCCAGATGTTCCAGTTAGCCTGGTATGGTTTTGGATCTCAGGCCTGGTAAGCCTCTCCTTTGAATCCTCATAAAGTAATAGACGGAAGCATCTTTTAGAACTTGAGTTGGTTGAATGTGATGTGAAGGAAGGGTTATTTTGCTGGTTTGGTGTACTCAGTATTTCAAAAAGGATGTTCAGACTTAATGTGGGGAAGGATGGAGTTGGTAAGTACTTTCAGATTTTTGTTAAATTGCCTTTGCCTCATCGGTGAAGTTCTTATTTAATTGGATGTGTGTGCGTCCTCCAACGCCTCAAGAAAGTTTTATGTCTGCTTTTTAAACACATTTGTCAATTTTTATTTTTTATTTATTTATTTTTTTAAAAGATTTTATTTATTTATTTGAGAGAGAGAATGAGATAGAGAGCATGAGAGGGGGGAGGGTCAGAGAGAGAAGCAGACTCCCTGCTGAGCAGGGAGCCCGACATGGGACTCGATCCCGGGACTCCAGGATCATGACCTGAGCTGAAGGCAGTCGCTTAACCAACTGAGCCACCCAGGCGCCCACATTTGTCAATTTTTAGTGACCTCACATAGTCCACAAGAAGACAAGAAAAAATGACTGGTTATGATGGGGTTCACTGCCATAATCAGCTGAGTGACTTTGGGTAGTGACCTAACCTTTGTAACATAAAGCATCTGAGTTAGACAAACACAGAGATCTCCAAAACCATGTGTGCCCTGAGGCAGTTATTACTGCTAGCACATTAGATGCCCACAAACAGGAAGGAAGTTCAAAATAAGCCCTGAGGAGTTAAGAGGAAATACATGTGCCTGCTTACCAAATACCAGATTTTCTATCTCTGTTTTACATACGAGAATTGATCCTCACTTTACACATGCTTAGAGGAGCTAGAAATGTGGTCAGTGGTTCAATGGTTGATTCTTCTTGTTCTTGAAGATTCCGGTCCTGTGAACTTTGGTTCAATAGCTGATTCGGTCAGACCTGTGCTATGTTTCAAAGATTTTGTTGACATGCAGGGGTTTTTCTTTTCAGTAAGGACGTGCACATTAGCCTCCCCAAGGAAAGTCTGGCCAAACAGGTTTTCAGCCTGATTAGGGCCTCACTTTGCTCACACTCTAGTTTCTTTTGTAGTGACCCTGAACTTCAGGTCTCTGTTGTTTCCGTTGGTGGCACATGACACTTGCTTGAGGGGTGGCAAACTGAGCAGCCCGAGGGCAGTGTGAAGGTGAGAAACACAGAGAGAAAAGTGGAAAATCAGTGAGGAAGATGTGGTGTTTATAGAAACAAATCCTTTTGAACTTCATTGAGCTTATACATCTTAAAGATGGTAATGGGCAAACAAGGAGGAAGAACGGATTTCGAAGGAGGTAACATAAAATAATGAAATCTTCCCAGCTGTGAAGTAATCATTATTAACAGTATGATGTAGGACCTTCCAGGTTTAAAAAAAAAAACAAAAACAAAAAACCATTTTTTAAAGAGGGAAAAATAAATACAACCTAACAGAAAGCTTTTTGTGATTCTGTCAGATTGTACTCTGAACGGTAAGCTCCTTAGGGCTGGCCTGCCACCTGACTGCAGTCGCTCTTGTCATTGCAGGATGATGTGGGCAGCAGGGACGGTGGCCGCCATGTCCAGCATCACATTTCCAGCAGTCAGCGCCCTTGTCTCTCGGAACGCAGAGTCAGATCAGCAAGGTGAGGTCACTGTCCCCTTCCTGTTTTCCTCCTTTAGCTAAGATATACTCCAGGTCACGGAGCAGGTGATAGCCATGTGGTCCCTTCTCAGCAATTACAGCTTTCTCTTTTCCCTCCTGCTTCTGGACTTTCAGAATACTAAGGATTAGAAATAGAACTATCCAAAATAAAAACAAAAAACAAAACCAAAACTATCCATTTTCTCTCTTCAGTTTTGAGTCTTTTACCACCAGAATCATTTTAACAGATGTATGTCAAATTAGGAAAGACTGGTTAGTAAAGCAATGAGTTCTTTATTTAATCACCATAATTACTGAAATTTCTTTAATTTGGAATCAAAGTCCATTAGCTTAAATTAGGAAATGATTTTTTGAGGGGATAAATAAGTAAATATGTATACTTTGGAAACAATTAAAATGGAGACGACCATGTGGAGAATAGCGCTCTACCGTCTAGACTCATCATGAACCTCTGGCTTCTGTCAGGCAGTTCCCACTGCCAGAATTAATCCTTTCCTTCTCCATCTGTTAATGGCTCACCTAAAGTAGGCAGGAAGTAGTGAATTTTAGAAGGAAAATCTTTTAAATTCACTAGAGCCTTTTTAAAAGTTCTAACAAAAACTGGACTGGAAAAGATTAATTCATTGCACCTACTTTTCCACATCAGAAATTAGCCATCTTATTCATACCCATTTTTAAAGTGTCACTTGAAGACGACAGATTCTGTGTCACCCTGTTTCCCTTGGCTATGTGTCCTTGGGGAGGTGTTATGTCTGAAGAAGTGAGACAGCTGTGGGCACTGCCTTGACGTCTGACAGGCACCATCTGGCCTTTCATGACATGAATTCTCTTTGGCTCTTATTATGCTTGTATGTTCTAATACAGAGGTTTCTAAATGTCAGCGTACAACATTACTGGAACACATTAAGTTGAATCATATTTGAACAATTTTGACTTGTGGAAACATCCATTTTCATATGATTCAAGCTAATATTTTATCTGCCACGTTAGAAACCAGAGATATCTAGAAGTTGGTACTTCTGGGATTTTTCAGTGCAGGTCACCATGAGGAGCAGTGTCTGTGTGAATGTGCCGCGAGTACACAACTTTGGGACTGCTATGGACTCACACACAGGGCTCCAGGAGACAGGGCAGATTTTTCCTGTAAAAGGACCATTAGATGAGTAGAGGAGGAAAATCTCATTCCATAGAAAAGTGGAAATTGCCTATAAATGGAGAATATTAGAGTTTTTTTCATTTTTTATTCCCCATTTATAGGAAGGATCTAGCTGTTACGGGGGGGAATTCAGCCCCAAAAGAGATTTCACAAACATCACTGTCATTTCATCTCCTTATAGATCTTAGGGGGGAGAGTTAGGACATTAACAGGACATAGTAAAACCAGTAATATATTTGTGCACTGAATGGAACTATGATGGGCGAAGTCCCTAATCTACTTCCCTTAGCACAGACTACTCATACTTAGTCCAGCTGAGCAGTGGATCACAGTTTGTAGGAAAATACTGTTAAGTCCCTAATCTCGAGATGCTTTTCTGAGAAGACTGGCTCCCTTCTCTCTATTCTCATGTAGGAGTTGCCCAGGGGATCATAACTGGAATAAGAGGGCTGTGTAATGGCCTGGGACCAGCACTGTATGGCTTCATATTCTACATGTTCCATGTGGAACTGACTGAGTTGGAACCAGAATTGAATTCTGACAATGCTGCCCTGCAGGTAATTTGGTGATAAGTCTAGTTTTATAACAACCATATGTCTGATGAGAGCAAAATCTGAACTTAAATTTGGAGAATGTTCTTGTTCATGTGATGTTTCTATTGTATGTGCTATGTTCAGTGCTTCCTGGGATTGAGGAAGGATCAGTTCAGTGATGTAGTATCTTCTGCAAAAAGCTCTGTCTTAATTTTGTTCAGAGTCCATTTTTACCTACACAAGTACTCTGATCAGAATCCCGTCCTCTGGTGAAGCCCGGCAAAGGCCAAATAAAATGCGAAATGACCTAGATTCCTGCTAGAAATGGAGCTAGAGTGCTTTTTCTACTACATATTTCTTCAGTCGTTCCTTCAGTGTAAATTTCTGTATAAAATTGTCCTTAGTGTTCATGAACATAGTGCGAGGTCACAGGATGGGGACTGGAGACCCACAACTGCCACTTAAAAGCTGTTGAAAAGTGGTGCAAAGAACAATGATTAGTTGCCCTCTGTCATATTCCAAACACAGGCTCTATGGGAATTTGCCTTGATACTTAATGAAACATTCGCTTATGAGAAAATGATTTACTTTTTGATGGTCTGGGGGAGTCCAGGGCTAATTTTGGATTGAAGACTAACCGAATCCTTTGTCTCCATTTGTTTCCCATGCCCCTCAGGGAGCTGTCATCCCAGGCCCACCGTTTTTATTTGGGGCATGTATAGTTCTCATGTCTTTCCTGGTTGCCTTATTCATCCCTGAATACCGTAAAGGCAGTGGGCTTCAAAAACACAGCAACAGCATCAGCGGCAGCCTGACCAACACCCCAGAGCGGGCCAGTGATGAGGACATTGAGCCACTGCTGCAAGACAGCAGCATCTGGGAGCTCTCTTCCTTCGAGGAGTCTGGGAATCAGTGCACTGAGCTGTGAACTGGCAGAAAGGGGAATTCTGCCGATGCCTCCTCTGAGCGCCGTGGGAGCCACGCCACACGGAGACTTCATGGTGCTGGAAGGGAGATGCTAGTGGCACCCTTCAGGGCCAGGTTTGAGAAGTGACCCTCTCCATCCCTCCACGCCGCCCCCCCCACCCCGCTCCTATTCCTTTCCTTCTTTTTGTGGTCTATTAGAACAATATTCAAAGTACTTTCCTGCAAATTTTGCAACTCTCAAAGTCATCTGGAGTCCAAACTTTGAAACGCAAACAGAAAGATGGCTTTCCTTGAATAACTCTGGAGGAAGAGTGATAGCAGTTTTTCCATCTCCTTTTCAGTGGAAGGTGCAGGGTGGGAGTGGACTGCCATCTCTGACAAGATCTGAGGTAAAAAGTCCCTGCTTATTTTCTTCCTTCCTGTTTCTCTGATCTGTGCCCGCTTAGCCCACGGGTGTTCATGAGTGGCCGCCCCAAGAGTCACTCAGTATCAGGGATCTATTGCCTTTGTTCAAAGGTCTCTACTTCCTGTTCTTGGCTAGAATGAAATTCAGCAAATTAATGTACCTCTGGACATTAATAATCAGTGATAACCTTTATTTAGATAAAAGGAAAGTTTTCTTAAAATTTTAAATTATGAAGAACTGGCAACTCAGATTGCTGGACCTGGTGTTTTGGTCAGATCCCAGGTGATTTTACAGAAGAAAAATGCACATCAAGTATTCGAGTAGCAACAGAGAATTTGAAGGGAGCTTCTAAGAAAGTTTTCAATAATACAAATATTCCTAAGTGAGGATGAGAATTAGTGACTGGATACCAGTGGAGTTTATATCCAAGTTCAGACTCCTAGAACACATTATTACCATCTGCTCCTTGCTGCATCTTCTGTCTTCTCAGTTTTTCTCGTTCATCTCACTCCTGCCTTAACTGCTCTATTGTATGCATCGGTTTTTAGTCGGGTCTTTATTTCCATCTGTTTATCTGACTTTTGAATTTCATGGGAATATGCACATCAGATTGTTTTCTAAAATGTGGTTTAGGAAGCTCAGTTTCACAATAAGTGTCTTGCTAATTTTTCGAGATGTTCTATGGAAAGAAAACTTTACAGATTTATATGTATTTTCCTGCACCAATAAATCTACCATTAACTAGGCCCCACCCACCTTTAACAGAGCACTCCTCTGAAAGTTTTATAGGTATGAAATATATGTAGATATTTGTAAGGAGTTTTAAATTTTTTTTGATGGGGTGCTGTGTAAATCTTGTATTTAAAAATGTAATGAAGGTGTTGAAAGAAAAATATATATACAACTTTTATAAAAGGATTGTGTACTGACTGAATACATTTAAAAGAAAATATATTTTGAAACCTGTTCTGCTATGAACAGAGATAACATATCTTTTTACTATGCTGTTGGTTTTTAAGTTAAGCTTCCTAATGCATAATAAATTTGCAATGGATACCTTTATGTCTTTTGTGTTTCTTTAAAGCAAATAGTACCATTGATCTTTTTGGGTTCTCTTTTGGGTGGGTATCAACTAAATTCTTAATCCTTAATTAAGCTAATGCAAAAAAGAGGTATATTTTCAAAAATTTTGATCTTTAACACACTCCCTTCAAAAACATATCGTAGCTTTTTCATCTAAAATAAAAAAACAGGGACACATATTTGTACACCCAGTTATTGGCATTCTTCACAATAGCCAAAAGGTGGAAGCAACCCGAGTGTCTGCTGTTGACTGAATGGATATAGGAAATACGGCATTTACATACAAGGAAATCCTCAGCCTAGGGAAGGAAGGAAATTCTGACTCATGCCACAACATGGATGAGTTTTCAAGACATGATAAGTGAAGTAAGCCAGTCACAAAAGGACATACACAGTGTGGTTCCACTTTAGTCAAATTGAGACAGAAAGTAGAATAGTGGATGCCAGAACTAGGAAAGGGTAAGGGGGAATTACTGTTTAATGGGTAGAGTTTCAGTTTTGCAAATGGATGTGGTGAGGATGGTTCCATAAAAGTATGAATGTACTCAGTGCCACTGAACTAAAAATGGTCAACTCAGGTTATGTGTATATTTTGCCACAATTTTTAAAGAATGCTCTCGTGACATCTTTACTATTGCTTACCAAAATTGCAGTTTCTTTACCCAGTATAACAAATGTCAAAACTGGGATAAAATCTATCATTTTAACTATTTACAATTTAGTGGTTTTTAATTTATTCACGAGGTTGCACAGCTGTTAGGACTATCTCCACAATAGGCTGAGAGAACAGTGTTCACCACTGAATTATTAAACCAGAGCCTTACAGAAGGGCTGCCACCTGGCCAGTGCTGGAATTTCTAGACTAGGAAGCGAGTTCTGTGGGGTGATGGCTGGGGCTGACAGTGTACCTGGTTCTGCCTGTGCTGGAAAAAACTGCAAACTGGGTTTGGCTGCTACTCTCGGGAAGAACCGCCACTGCCAGCATGAAGCGTCATCAGAATGCAGCTGTGAGAAATTAGAAGACAGGAAGAAGTCAGTCAGTCCCTCCTCTTCTTCAGTATGCAGTTTTTATCTAGCATCCTTCATCAGCTAACACAGAGCCAGCTGACAAAGGAGAACAGGTATGCCAAGTAAAGGACAGGTTGGAACTAAGAGACAGTAACTGGCACCCTCAACATACCTTACTTGAGCTTCTGATCCTCACCAGCACCTCTCCCGTGACCCAGATCTGCATTTACTAAAGGATGTGGATCTTCCACAGGTTGCTATCATTTTCCCCTAACTTTTCTACTGAGCATTAAAGTACAGTTGAATAACATCAAGGGTAAGGGTGCCAAGTCCCTATGCAGTTGAAAATCCACATGTAACTTGACTCACCAAAAACTGAATTACTGATACCCTACTCTTAACTGGAAGCCTTATCAGTAACAACACATATTTTGTATATATTGCATATATTACATACTGCATTCTTACAATAAAGTTAAGCTAGAAAAAAGAAAATGTTAAGAAATCTTAAAATAGGGGCGCCTGGGTGGCTTAGTCTTTAATTGTCTGCCTTCAGCTCAGGTCATGATCCCGGGCTCCTGGGATCGAGCCCCAATTGAGCTCCCTGCTCGGCGGGAAGCCTGCTTCTCCTTCTCCCAATTCCCCTGCTTGTGTTCTCTCTCTCTCGATGTCTGTCAAATAAAATCTTTTAAGAAAACTAAAAAAATACAAGTTATGAAGCAAAATGACTTTTTCATTAGAAATTTACAGTCAAGGGGCGCCAAGGAGCGACTTAAGTCGTTAAGTGTCTGCCTTCAACTCAGGTCATGATCCCAGAGTCCTGGGATCGAGCCCCATGGCTTCTCCCTCTCCCATTACCCCTGCTTGTGTTCCCTCTCTTGCTGTCTATAAATAAAATTTTTTAAAAATCTTAAAATACATTCATAGTATCATTTCTTAAAAAGTCCATGTAGAGGGGACCTGTGCAGTTCAAATCCTTGTTCAAGGGCCAGCTGTACTGAGAGAAAAGATGTTGGAGGAGTAGGGGACCCTATTCCAACTGGTCCCCGGAATTGAGCTGGATATCTACCAGACAACTCTGAGCACCCACGAAATCAGCTTGAGATGTAAGAAAATAGATCCGGATCTCTACAAACAGAATATCGCGGGCGGCTGGTTTCAAGGTATGAAGCTGGGAGCCATGATTCTGCGGGCAGATTTTGGAGGATAAACGGCAGGGGGAGGGAGCCTGGCCGTTGGGATCCTACACCGCCGGTGAGCGACAGCCTCACGCGCTGGGGACCGGGCACAGGCTCACAGACCAGTAGCAGCGGGGAAAGGACTTTAGGGCAGACCACTGACGGAAACCCGGAGCAGCGAGGTCACACGTGTGAACTGGGAGCGGCTGGCGGTTTTAGAAGCACAAAGGGCAGAGACGTGCCCGACCTGGAGGCAGGACTTGGAGCACTGTGGAGGGGCGCACAACCCAGGCTGCTGCAGTTTATAGCACCATGGACAGAAGTGGAGATGGTGTGGCCTGGAGAGCTCACTGAAGAACAGACTGCGGACTCTCTGCTCTGAGGCAGAGGGTTGGAAACGGTCTCTTCTGCTCTGACTCACAGAAGAGACGCGGAAAGCCGCCAGGGAAAGCCGCCAGAGAACAAAATCCCCCAAAACTGGTTCCCACTCAGCCCATCCCCTGCCACAGGGGGGCAGGGCAACTCCGCCCAAACAGGGTTGCCTGAGTAACAGCGTGGCAGGCCCCTCCCCCAGAAGACAGGCTGGGAAAACATGAGGCCAGCAACCCTAAGGTCCCTAGAAAACAGGTGCATCTTGCTTGGGTTCTGGTCAATAATTTGGACTCTATACATTCCCTCAACCACCCATCAACAGAATGACTAGGAGGAGGAACCCCCAAAATAGAAAAGACTCCGAGATTATGATTTATGCAGCAGATTTACAAATGGATGCAGATATAACCAAGATGTCAGAGATGGAATTCAGACTAGCAACTGTGAAGACAATGGCTAGAATGGAAAAATTGATTAATGGCAAAATAGAGTCTCTAAGGGCAGAAATGAAAGCTGAATTGGCAGAACTTAAAAATGCTATCAGTGAGATCCAATCTAATCTAGATACTCTTAACAGCTAGGGTAACTGAGGCAGAAGAGCAAATAAGCGACCTGGAAGACAACTTAACAGATAAAAAGGGAAAAGAAGCCATGGAAGAAAAACTCAGAATCCATGAAAATAGAATCAGAGAAATAAATGACACCATGAAGCCTTCCAATGTCAGAATTATTGGAATCCCGGAGGGAGGGGAGAGAGACAGAGGACTAGAAGATATATTCGAGCAAATCGTAGCTGAGAACTTCCCTGATCTGGGGAATGAAACATTCGTGTCCTAGAGGCAGAGAGGACCCCTCCCAAGATCAAGGAAAACAGGCCAACACCCCGGCATGTAATAGTAAAACTTGCAAATCTTAGAACCAAGGAAACCATCTTAAGGGCAGTTAGGGGGAAGAGATTCCTTACGTACAGAGGGTGGAACATTGGAATAACGACAGACCTGTCCACAGAGACCTGGCAAGCCAGAAATGGCTGGCAAGACATATTCAGGGTACTAAATGAGAAGAACATGCAGCCAAGAATACGTCACCTGGCAAGGCTGTCATTTAGAATGGATGGAGAGATGCAGAGCTTCCAAGACTGGCAGAAACTGAATAAATATGTGACCACTAAGCTGACCCTGCAAGAAATATTAAGGGGGGGGGTTCTATAAAAGGAGAAAGACCCCCAAGAGTGATATCGAATAGAAATTTACAAGGACAATCTATAAAAACAAGGTCTTCACAGGCAACATGATGACAATAAATTCATTCTTTCAATAATCACTCTCAACGTGAATGGCCTAAATGCTCCCATAAAACGGCACAGGGCTGCAGACTGGATAAAAAGACAGGATCCATCCATATGTTGTCTACAAGAGACTCATTTTGAACCTAAAGATACATCCAGACTGAAAGTGAAGGGATGGAGATCCATCTTCCATGCCAGCGGACCTCAAAAGAAAGCTGGGGTAGCAATTCTCATATCAGACAGATTAGATTTTAAGCTAAAGACCGTAGTTAGAAGCACAGAAGGACACTTTATCATTCTTAAAGGGTCTATCCAACAAGAAGATCTAACAGTTGTAAATATCTATGCCCCCAACATGGGAGCAACCACCTACATAAGCCAACTGTTAACCAAAATAAGAGTCATATTGCTAAGAATACGTTAATTGTAGGAGACCTCAATACTCCACTCCCAGCAATGGACATACCATCTAAGCAGAAAATCAACAAGGAAACAAGAGCTTTGAATGACACACTGGACTAGATGGACCTCATATATATATTAGGGTGGAACAGAACATTCCACCCTAAAACAACAGAATACTCATTCTTCTCGAGTGCACATGGAACTTCCTCCAGAATAGACCACATACTGGGTCACAAATCAGGTCTCAACCAATACCAAAAGATTGAGATTATTCCCTGCATATTCTCAGAGCATAACGCTTTAACACCGGAACTCAATCACAAGAAAAAATTTGGCAGAAATTCAAACACTTGGAAACTAAAACCCACTCTGCTCAAGATGTTTGGGTCAACCAGGAAATCAAAGAAGAACTTAAACAATTCATGGAAACCAATGAGAACGAAAACACATCGGTCCAAAACCTATGGGATACTGCAAAGGCAGTCCTAAGGGGGAAATACATAGCCATCCAAGCCTCCCTCAAAAAAATAGAAAAATCCCGATTTCACCAACTAACTTTACACCTTAAAGAACTAGAGAAAAAGCAACAAACGATGCCTAAGCCACGCATTAGAAGAGAAATAACTAAGATTAGAGCAGAGATCAATGAAGTAGAAACCAGAAACACAAAAGATCAACAAAACTAGAAACTAGTTCTTTGAAAGAATTAATAAGATCGATAAACCACTGGCCAGACTTACCCAAAAGAAAAGAGAAAGGACCCAAATTAATAAAATTACGAATGAAAGGGGAGAGAACACGACTAACACCAAGAAAATAGAAACAATTATTAGAAATTACTGTCAACAACTATATGCCAATAAATTGAGCAACCTGGAAGAAATAGATGCCTTCCAGAAACCTAGAAACTCCCAAGACTGAAACAGGAAGAAATTGACAACCTGAATAGGCCAATAACCAGTAACAAGATTGAAGCAGTGATCAAAAACCTCCCAAAAAACAACAGTCCAGGGCCTGATGGATTCCCTGGGGAATTCTACCAAACATTCAAAAAAGAAATAATACCTATTCTCCTGTTTCAAAAAATAGAAACAGGGGCGCCTGGGTGGCTCAGTCATTAAGCGTCTGCCTTTGGCTCAGGTCATGGTCCCAGGGTCCTGGGATCGAGCCCCGTATCGGCTCCCTGCTCAGCGAGGAGCCTGCTTCTCCCTCTCCCACTCCCCCTGCTTGTGTTCCCTCTCTCACTGTGTCTCTGTCAAATAAGTAAATAAAATCTTAAAAAAAAAAAAAAGAAAAAGAAAAAAAGAAGAAAAGCTTCCAGACTCATTCTATGAGGCCAGCATTACCTTTATCCCCATACCAGGCAAAGACCCCATCAAAAAGAATTTCAGACCGATATCCCTGATGAAAATGGATTCCAAAATTCTCAACAAAATCCTAGCTGATAGGATCCAACAGTACATAAAAAGGATCATCCACTAGGACCAAGTGGGATTTATCCCCGGGATGCAAGGGTGGTTCAACATTCGCAAATCAATGTGATACAACACATTAGTAAGAAGAGAGAGAAGAACCATATGGTCCTCTCAATTGATGCAGAAAAAGCATGTGACAAAATACAGCATCCTTTCCTGATTAAAACTCTTCAGAGTACAGGGATAGAGGAAACATTCCTCCAGTTCATAAAATCATTCTGTGAAAAACCCACAGCAAATATCATCCTCAATGGGGAAAAGCTGAGAGCCTTGCCCTTAACATCAGGAACACGACAAGGATGCCCACTCTCGCCACTATTATTCAACACAGTATTAAAGTCCTAGCAACAGCAATCAGACAACAAAAAGAAATAAAAGTTATTCAAATTGGCAAAGAAGAAGTCAAACTCTCTCTTTTCGCAGACGACATGATACTTTATGTGGAAAATCCAAAAGACTCCACCCCCAAATTATTAGAACTCATACAGCAATTCAATAATGTGGCAGGATACAAAATCAATGCACAGAAATCAGTTGCTTTCTTATATACTAACAATGCAACTGTAGAAAGAGAAATTAGAGGAAGATTCCATTTACAATAGCACCAAAAACCGTAAGATACCTCGGAATAAACCTAACCAAAGAGATAAAGGATCTATACTCTAGGAACTACAGAACACTCATGAAAGAAATTGAAGAAGATATAAAAAGATGGAAAAATATTCCATGCTCATGGATCGGAAGAATAAACATTGTTAAAATGTCTATGCTACTCAGAGCAATCTATACCAACGCCATCCTGATCAAAATTCCAATGACATTTTTCAAAGTACTGGAACAAACAATCCTAAAATTTGTATGGAATCAGAGAAGACCCCGAGTCGCCTAAGAAATGCTGAAAAAGACAAAGAAAGCTGTGGGCATCACGTTGCCCGATTTCAAGCTATATTACAAAGCTGTGATCACCAAGACAGCATGGTACTGGCACAAAAACAGACATACAGACCAATGGAACAAAATAGAGAGCCCAGAATGGACCCTTAACTCTATGGTCAAATAATCTTTGACAAAACATGAAAAAATATGCAATGGAAAAAAGAAAGTCTCTTCAATAAATGGTGCTGGGAAAAGTGGACAGCCACATGCAGAAGAATCAAACTCGACCATTCTCTAACACCATACACAAAGATAAACTCAAAAGGGATAAAAGACCTCAATGTGAGATAGGTAGTAACCTCTTCAACATCAGCCACAGCAACTTCTTTCAAGATGCATCTCCAAAGGCTAGTGAAACAAAAGCAAAAATGAACTTTTGGGACTTCATCAAGATAAAAAGCTTCTGCACAGCAAAGGAAACAGTCAACAAAACAAAGAAGCAACCCACAGAATGGGAGAAGATATTTGCAAATGACACTACAAAGCGTTGATTTCCAAGATCTACAAAGAACTTCTCAAACTCAACACCCAAAAAAACAAATAATCAAGTCAAAAAATGGGCAGAAGACACGAACAGACACTTCTCCAAACAAGACATACAAATGGCTAACAGACACATGAGAAAATGTTCATCATTATTAGCCATCAGGGGAAATTCAAATCAAAACCACACTGAGATACCACCTTACACCAGTTAGAATGGCAAAAATTGACAAGGCAAGAAACAACAAATGTTGGAGAGGTTGTGGAGAAAGGGGAACCCTCTTACACTGTTGGTGGGAATGCAAGTTGGTACAGCCACTTTGGAAAACAGTGTGGAGGTGCCTCAGAAAATTAAAAATAGAGCTACCCTATGACCCAGCAATTGCACTCCTGGTATTTATCCCAAAGACACAGATGTAGTGAAAAGAAGGGCCATGTGCACCCCAATGTTCATAGCAGCAATGTCTGCAATAGCCAAACTGTGGAAAGAGCCGAGATGCCCTTCAACAGATGAATGGATAAAGAAGATGTGGTCCATATATACAATGGAATATTACTCAGCCATCAGAAAGGATGAATACCTAAGTTTTACATCAACATGGATGGGACTGGAGGAGATTATGCTAAGTGAAATATGTCAAGCAGAGAAAATCAATTATCATTTGGTTTCACATATGATAAACCAATTATATGGTTTCACATAAGGAACAGCAGCATGGAGGACATTAGGAGAAGGAAGGGAAAAATGAACGGGGGGAAATTGGAGGGAGAGACGAACCATGACAGACTATGGACTCTGAGAAACAAACTGGGTTTTAGAGGGGAGCGGGTGGGCGGATGGGTTAGCCCGGTGATGGGTATTAAGGAGGGCATGTACTGCATGGAGCACTGGGTGTTATATGAAAACAATGAATCATGGATCACTACATCAAAAACTAATAATCTATAATGACTAACATAATAAAAATAAATAAAATTTTTTTAAAAATGTTCACTCTTGCCACTTTTATTCAACATATTATTGAAAGTCTTATGCAAGAAAAAGAAATAACAGGTCTCCAAATTGGAAAGGAAGAAGTAAAACTGTCACTATTTGCAGATGACATAATATTACATACAGAAAACCCTAAAGACTCTAAACAAAGAATCCAGTAAAGTTGCAGGATATAAAATCAATATACCAAAATTAAAAAACCCTGTCAGTTCTATACAGTAATAATGAACTATCAGAAAAATTAAGAAAACAATTCCATTTACAATTGCACCAAATTGAATACAATACCTAGAAATAAATTTAAGAAGGTGAAAGACCAGGGCGGCTGGATGGCTCAGTTGAGCATCTGACTCTTGGTTTCAGCTCAGGTCATGATCTCAGGGTTGTGAGATCAAGGGGGGCCCCCCCAAATAAATAAATAAATCTTAAAAAAAAAAGGGGGGGGGTAAAAGAACTGTAGACGTGAAACTGTAAGAAACTGATGAAATAAATTGAAGACACAAATAAATGGAAAGATATTCAATGTTCATGGGCTGGAAGAATTTGTTAAATATGCATACTATCCACAGCAATCTTCAAATTCAACGCAATCCCCATAAAATTCCAACTGTATTTTTCAAAGAAATGAGCAATTCTATAATGTGTATAGAACCACAAAAGATCCCAAATATACAAAGGAACCTTCAGGGGCGCCTGAGTGGCTCAGATGGTTAAGCGTCTGCCTTTGGCTCAGGTCATGATCCTAGGGTCCCGGGATCGAGTCCCGCCATCAGGTTCCCTGCTTCTCCCTCTGCCTCTCTCTCTCTCTCTCTCTGCCTCTCATGAATAAATAAATAAAACATTAAAAAAAAAAAAAAGGAACCTTCAGAAAAACCAACAAATCTGCAATATCACATTCCCTGACTTTCAAACAATACTGTAAAAGTACAGTAATCAAATAGTATGATATTGACATAAAAACAGGCACATATAGGTCAGTGGAACACAACAGAGCCCAGAAATTAACCCTCTCATAAAGAGCCAATTAACTTATGATCAAGGAGCCAGAAATATACAACTGGGGGGGAAATACAGACTTTTTTTTTTTAAAAGATTTTATTTATTTATTTGACACAAAGAGAGAGAGTACAAGCAGGGGGAGTAGCAGGCAGAGGGAGAGGGAGAAGCAGACTCCCTGCTGAGGCTGTGTAGGGAACCCAATATGGGGCTCGATCCTGGGATCATGACCTGAGCTGAAGGCAGACGCTTAACCAACTGAGCCACCCAGCATCCCCGGAAAATACAGACTGTTAAATCAGTGTTTTTGGTAAAGAGGACAGCAACATGCAAAAGAACAAAACTGGACAATTACATTACACCATTCACAAAAATTAACTCAAAATAGACTAAAGACTTCAATGTAGAACCTGAAACTATAAAACTCCTAGAAGCAGTAAGCTCAACGTCAGTCTTAATTATAAATACAAAGACTTATAGACGGCCAAAAAGTACATGATTCCAACATCACTAATCATCAAGAAAATGCAAATCAAAACAATGAGCTATCACTTCACACCTGTCCGAATGGCTTTTATAAAAAAAATAAAAATAACATGTTGGCAACAACATGGACAAAAAGGTACACTTGTTCACTGTTGGTGGGAATGTAAATTGGTGCAGCCGCTATGGAAAACAGCATGTAGTTTTCTCAATAAATAAAAAATAGAACTACCCCGTAATCCAGCAATTCCACTTCTGTGTATTATCTGGAGAAAACAAAAACACTAACTTGAAAAGATACTTGCATCCCCATTTTGTTTGCAGCATTATTTAAAATATCCAAGATACAGAAACAATCTAAGGGTCTCTCAATGCCTTAATGGAGAAAACAATGTGATACATATAAATATAGATATATAGGTACATAAAATTTACTCAGCAGTAAAAAAAATCTTGCTTTAAAAAAATTTCATTCATAATAGCTTCCCCCCAAATTAGGATTAAATCTAACAGAATATGTGAAGGATCTGTATGCAGACTACAAAGCACCAAGGAAGGAACTCAAACAAGACCTACATAAATGGAAAGGCAGCACGGGCAAAGATATTAATTCCCTAAAACTGATCTAGAGATTTAATGTAATTCTTAACAAAATCCCAGCAGGATCTTTGTAGATATACATAAGCAGTACTAAAACCTATATGGTAAGAATGTAGTAGCTATGATAATTTTGAAAAAGAAACCATGGTACCTGATTTTAAGAAGTACTCTGCAGTGGGGCGCCTGGGTGGCTCAGTCGTTAAGTGTCTGCCTTCAGCTCAGGTCATGATCCCAGGGTCCTGGGATCAAGCCCCGCATCGGGCTCGCTGCTTCGCGGGAAGCCTGCTTCTCCTTCTGCTTCTCCCCTTGCTTGTGTTCCTGCTCTTGCTATCTCTCTCTGTGTCAAATAAATAAAATCTTAAAAAAAAAAAAAAAAAAAGTACTCTGTAGCTACAGTAACCAAGACAATGTGATGTTAGAAGAGGGACAGACACAGAGCAGAGCAAAGAACCCAGAAACAGCCCCACATGAGAATGGCCAACTGATGACAAATGTGCAAAAACAAAAAGGTGGTTATGTGTAGATCTAATTCTTTACAACTGATGTATATTTTTGTAGCCCTGGGGCTGTTTTATGATTTTGAACTATTCCTCCACATCTTTTCAATGTATTTCCCACACTATAACCAGAGGGGTCCTGACAAAAATCTATGAGATCTTGTACCTCATTTGCCCAAGAACTCTGGCCCTTCATACAGGCCCAGAGACTTCACATGTCCTCCCCCAATTCTGGTACCCCCCTGCACACTGGCCACCCCCAAATCCCTCAAGCTGGCTGCTGCCTCAGGGCATCCTCACGTTGCCCCCCTGATGCCTTTCCTGACTGTCCTATTAAAAATCACCACCCAGTTCCCAGAACAATGTCTACCATTCTGACCTTTAGAGTTGCCTTTTGGAACACAGGACTGTGCTATTCTGAAGACTGGTTTGTTGTGGATATGCACTATGCTCTGCCAAAAGGTGGTTAATTTTTTCCTTCTCCAAAGCCAAAACTGCAAACTATGTGTGAAAATTCATCTTGTGAAGAGCAGTCTGTTCTCAGTCTCACTCTGTGTAAGTCCAGAGTACATCTGCTCACATTTTGATCTTGCACCCACTCTGCTCCCCTGGGATCTACCCTGGAGAGGCTGCAGGGGAGGTCCTTGACAGGTACTCACCCATGGCCTGAGCACTGGGTTGAGAGTCAGGAGCAGCTAGAATGATGTATGGGCCAGAGCAGCTTATGGAACAGAGAGAACAGACAGACCCAGGGGTAGAGCCACAAGGCACTGGAAAGGGGGAAGTGTCCCCTTCCCTGACCTTATGAGTAAAGACAAGCAGTGTGGGCAGGGAACACAGAGAAGCACTGGGTGGAGCTTCTGTGCTGGGACAGCCTGACTGCTCCTGACTGAATATTCCACAAAATAGTTGTAGACATCATGTCTTGCCAGCTGGAACTCTGGACTTCTGGTTTTTTTTAATGAGATATATGCCTTCTATCCCTTAGCACATACTTCTTCAGACTATCTGGACTGAATTCATGACTGTTGTATTTAGCATTGAATTTTCTCATGCATTTTGTGATTTTTGTCTGTGTCCCTGTCTAGTGGTGACAAGATGTCTGCTGCCCTTAGCTTCACAGTTGTTCACATTATGGTTCCAGGCACAGAGCTCGTCAGTGTTCCTGAGCCAGAAGCCCCACCAGGCAGCTGCAGCATAGGGCGAACTCAGCCTGAGTCCCAGGCTCCCCAGACCAGGTGCTTGGTGCTGCCACCTTCTCAAAGATACAGCACCTGGCAGGCTCTGAACTTGAGGCTTTTCAGTTTCTGTTCTCTCTCTTGTCCAAGGACATGGCCATCTTGGGCAATGGAGTCTGGATTTTATTCTTTTTATGTTTTTCTTTTTTTACTTTAAGTTCTGTGATTAAGGTGAATGGAGTGAGCATCTTGACTAGGTTTGCCTGTCTCACTTTCTAGTTTTGTTGTGTTTCACGTTTTGTTCTTCCTTTCTTATTTTCTGTATTTGCCTGATCTTCCCTGATGTCAGGCCCAGAAATCTCACAATTTATTCCTATTACCGAACACTCTTGAGCAGTAATATCAAGACAGTAAAAAGTCAAAGCTATACTTCTGAATTATTTTTGTTCTCTTCTATGTTTAATGACCGTGATGAATTCATATTAAATGTATACAGCACATAAAAAGAAAAAAGGGAAAAGTGATACTATCGAGTAAGAAAGTACACTAACCTACTTCCTGTTCTGACCATAGTAATTCTAGAAAAAAGCACTGTCCTTTTCTGTCATGAAAGAGCACTTGAATCTCTCCTGTTCTCTTCTTTTCTACCAGCATGGCAAGCTGCCAAAAGTCCACTCAGGGGAGTTCTGAGTCTGGCCAATTGCTGGATATAAAAGTGATCTCAGCAAAGATAACCACATACCAAAACTGCTTGTGGCGGGGGCGCCTGGGTGGCTCAGTCGTTAAGTGTCTGCTTTCAGCTCAGGTCATGATCCCAGGGTCCTGGGATCGAGCCCCGCATTGGGCTCCCTGCTCCGCGGGAAGCCTGCTTCTCCCTCTCCCACTCCCCCTGCTTGTGTTCCCTCTCTCGCTGTGTATCTCTCTGTCAAAAAAATAAAATCTTTAACAAAAATTTAAAAAGTTAAAAAAATAAAACTGCTTGTGAATTTCTTGTTTTAAGGCTATTGCCCTGCAGTTACGTAAGAATCAAAAGCCTTTTTTTCCCCTGAATATATTTAGAATCTGTTTTTCTACTTTATTAGTTTAAAAACAAATAACCTTTCCTTTGCAGCAGAGTTTTCAACTGACTGGCACTGTTAACTTATTATAATCTTTCTTTAAAAGAAATCACTTTCAATTATGTTCTCATTCTATTTCCTTCAAGAATGAATGAATGAGGGGCACCTGGGTGACTCAGATGTTTGGGCATCTGCCTTCAGCTTGGGTAATGATCTCCAGGTCCTGGCATCAAGCCCTAAGTCGGGCTCCCAGCTCAGCAGGGAGTCTGCTTCTCCCTCTCCTTCTGCCCCCTCTCCACACCCCCTTGTGCGCTCTCTCTCAAATCAACAAAATCTTTTTTTTTTTTTTAAGATTTTATTTATTTATTTGACAGAGACACAGTGAGAGAGCGAACACAAGCAGGGGGAGTGGGAGAGAGAGAAGCAGGCTTCCCGCTGAGCAGGGAGCCCAATGCGGGGCTTGATCCCAGGACCCTGGGATCATGACCTGAGCCGAAGGCAGACGCTTAACGACTGAGCCACCCAGGTGCCCCAACAAAATCTTTTTTTATTTTATTTTATTTATTTGACAGAGAGAAAGAGATAGTGAGAGAGCGAGCACAAGCAGGGGGAGTGGGAGAAGCAGGCTCCCCGCCGAGCAAGAAGCCTGATGTGGGGCTCAATCCCAGGACCCTGGGATCATGACCTGAGCCAAAGGCAGCCACTTAACCGACTGAGCCACCCAGGTGCCCCTCAAATAAACAAAATCTTAAAAAAAAAAACCCACACATACAAACACACACACAAACAAAAACAAAAAACAAACCTAAGAAGAAAAAGAACAAATTAAGCCCAAAGTTAGTAGAATGGAGGAAATAGAGTAGAGCAGAAACAGAGAACAGAAAAATAGAAAAGATTAACCAAACTAAGACTTGGTTCCTTGAAAAGATAAAACTGACAAACCCTTAGCTACACTAGCCACAGAATACAGAGAGTACCCAAGTCAACAAAATTAAAAATGGAAAAGAAAACATTACAACTGATACCATAGAAATACAAAGGATTCAAAGAGGCTACTATGAACTATATGCCAACAAACTGAACAATCAAACAGAAACAGAAAAATTCTCAGAAAAATACAACCTACCAAGAATGAATCAGAAAAAAAATTGAAAATGTGAACTAATAAGGAGACTGAACTGGTAATCAAAAGTCTCCCAATGAAGAAAAGCCCAGAACCAGATGGCTTCCCTCATAAATTTTACCAAACATGTACAGAATTAACACCACTCCTCCTCAAAGTTTTCCAAAAAATCAAATAGGAGAAAGTACTCCCAAACTCCATTTTCCTGAACAAAGACACATAAGGACACTACTGGAAAACTGCAGGCCAATATGCCAGATAAATGCAAAAATTCCCAACAATATACTAGCAAAGTAAATTCAACAGCCCATTAAAAGGATAATTCAGGGGTGCCCGGGTGGCTCAGTTGGTTAGGTGTCTGCCTTCGGCTCAGGTCACGATCTAAGGGTCCTGGGATCGAGCCCCAGAGCCCCAAGTCGTCGGGCTCCCTGCTCAGTGGGGAGTCTGCTTCTCCCTCTACCTCTGCCCCTCCTCCCACTTGTGTTCTCTCTCTCTCTCGAGCACGCACATGCTCTCTCTCTAATAAATAAAATCTTTAAAAAATAATAAAAGGAAAATTCATCGTGATCAAGTGAGATTTATCACTGGGATACAAGGAAGGTTCAACATATGCAAATCAACCAATATGACATACACTGCATTAATAGAACAAAATCTAAAAAATCCCATCATTTCGATAGATGCAGAAAGAACACTGGACAAAATTCAACATCCTTTCATGATTAAAAAAAACTCTCAAATAATAGGACACAGACAGAACATACTTCGAATTACAAAGGCCATGTATGACAAGTCCACAAAACAAACATACTCTAAGGTGAAAGGCTGAAAGCTTTTTTTCACTGAAGATCAGGACAAGAGTGCTCACTCTTGCCACTCCTTTGAACATAATACTGGAAGTCTAAGCCAAAGAAATCAGGGAAGAAAAAGAAATAAAAGGCATCCAGGGGCGCCTGGGTGGCTCAGTCGTTAAGCGTCTGCCTTCGGCTCAGGTCATGATCCCAGAGTCCTGGGATCCCGTCCGGCACTGGGCTCCCTGCTCAGCGGGGAGCCTGCTTCTCCCTCTGCCCCTCCCCCAACCTCATGCGCGCGCGCACGCTCTCAAATACATAAAATCTTTTTTAAAAAATTAAAATAAAGCCAGCAAACCATGAGAAAAGAGCAACTACTAAAACAACCATACAGCAAGTAACAAAATGGCAATAAATACAAACCAATCAACAATTACATCGAATGTAAATGAACTAAACACTCCATTCAAAAGACATGGGTTACAGAATGGATAAAAAAGCAAGACAAACCTGTATGTTGCCTACAAGAGACTCATTTCAGACCTGAAGACACACACCGAAAGTGAAGGGATGGAAAAGCAATAATTATGTAAATGGATGCTAATAGAAAGCTGGGATAGCAATACTTACATTGGACAAAATATACTTTAAAATAAAGACTAACAAGAAACAAAGGGGAGCACCTAGGTGGCTCAGTCAGTTGAGCGGTG